CTAATGTGAACAATGACATCTTCCCACGTCTCAATGCCAATCAGGACCATCATGTCCTCGCTATTCAAGTCCCGGTGCTGCGGCCCTCCCACACGACGTCGTTGGGGCTCCAGCTCTTGATCAGTCGGAGCTGTCGACACGACGAGAGCAATCGATACTCCTCCCGCTGTCACCATAAGAATGGCCACATCTCAACTGCCTTGCGAATTCCGGACAGCGGACTTACGATGGTTCATAATGCCCGTTGTGAATAAATAGTATTCTGCCAGGTCCGCCAACTCGTTCGGTCGACTTCCTTTTTTTTTTCCTGCCACGAGATTTTTCCGCTGTGCTAACTTTTGACAGGACAGGGACACCATCAATTCCTTCGTGCTCGACGAGCCTTCCTTCTCGTCCCACAAACCGTCCATCACAGTCTGCTGGCGGCCTGCCTATCGTCAAGACATGAGCATATCCAATACCAAGTGGCCATACCCAACTAACCAACCCATGTCCTACACAGTACAGTCGTGGATCGAGTCGCTTCTGCCTTCGCCCGGTGCCGATCATTATAGATAAGCCACCGACGAGATTAGACTTGGACGTCGGATTGCAAGCAGGTTTATGAGCCTAGAGATCAGCTGGTGCTACGGCTGCCAAGGGGTAGGAATCCTAGCCTGAAGGAGGCGCTGACTACCCAGCCCTATAAGGATGGCTTGTATTTCGGTGCCTGGCCACCGCATGCCTGTGAGACCTGAAACTCCCCACTTCCCTCCACCCCCCTAGCAGTTCGCCTGTCCACCATTGGCTTGAACCCGGTGATGGCTGCATTCTACGGCACAAAACACTCAGTCCTCTGATATGGCTTACCACCAATGACACGTCCTTCAGTCAGAGATCTCGCCACAAAGAAAGGCTCGGGCTCTGTTTTTCCTCCCCGATTCATTTCTGGATTTCAGAATAGCCGTGAGGCGGTGGGAACAAGATGTGGAGCTGAGCCTCAGGTCATCACTCTAATGATGGATATAGAGGCGTTGTTGTCCTTAGTGCTGACGGGGGAAATCCTTCGGCACCAAGATCCCGAAGATGGAGACACAATAGCATTCAGTTACGAATGAAAGCCTGCGTGCTTGTTATTGGTACCTTACGTCGTGGTACACTAATCCACTCCGTAAAGTACAAAACTCGGCATGATCTTGTGCGAAGGACCTCTGGTTCACAGCCAAAGCACCCTTTTTCACCTCGATGGAAGCCTAGACGAAAGGCTCTCGAGACAGGGCGCTAGAACCAGTAATGGCTCACGATATACCCCAAGAAACACCACAAGACGTGGTTGACGACGTGACGACACCCAACGAAATCGATCTCTTCTCCATGCTCGACTCTAGCTTTCACAGCGGAGTATTTCAAGACCCTTTCGTCCCAGTGGACAATGCCGATGGTCCACGCTTTCTCGACACAGAGGCCTGTCTTTGCCAACTTCGACCAGAACCTGTAAAGGGCGACACAGTATGGTGGCAGTGTGTGGGAAACCAGTTCAACATAACAGACACGGGAGGAAAGTGGTTCCAGGCCAGGAATGTGGATGCTCTCGAGCTCGTAGCCAACAACACTCTCGGCCCCATCTACGATGCATCGTATGCTCCAGACTCGTCACAAGGGTTCGAATGGGATGACAGCCAGCAACAACTTACGATAACGGGAGATAGGACACCGGGTCTAAATGTGTGGGATACCGCCTGCACAGCGGAGAACAACACCCTCTTTTCGACCACACTCTATCGCGCGGCCGCCGAGATTCGGGCCAATCAGACACCCGTCGATGCGGCACCGTGCTGGAGACCCGGGGCGGTTCCTATTCAGATACAGGACTATGAAAACTGGCAAGAGCATGGGTGTAAAGATGGGTTTCTTTGTACGTTGATCCTGATGCCTTCCCTCACCTCTCCCTTGTCGACTACTGGCAAACCTTAACACGCTGCTCACAGGTTCAAACAACACCGTCAACTCGTTGCCACAGTACTGTACTCCCATCACCGAATGCCAGCTTGCCAGACTAGGGGGCATCGACTGCAAACTGAATGGCGTCAATATTGGCATGGGTCCTTTTGAGCCCGTCATCTGCCAGGCTGGATGGTACTGCCCTCGAGAAGAGAAGGGAATGGTCACCCTCAAGTGTCCATCTGGCCATTACTGCCAGGCAGGCGCACCTACACCCACGCCATGTGCAGTTGGGAGCAGGTGCCCAGAAGGCTCCTCCTTTGAACGTTACCTTCTTCCCATTGTCCTTCTCCTCGTCATAGACGTGTTGCTCATCCTTGGGATGATCCATCTCGGTATCCGGAAGAGACACCGCAATTCCTCCGCCGGCGCCATCCGCCAAAATCACTTCGCAGCTGTCATTGGTGGTTACAAGCAAGTTGCGAAGAAACGCCATGAGGAAGTCAACCACGAGCCGGCGCTGCGGAGACAAGTCGAGCGTCAAGACACCTTTAGGGGTCTCGGCGATCAGCTCCACGAGCAAGCGCCTCCTCTCAGTCACGGAAAGACCGTCCGCCACAACCCTGACCCGGAAGTCTCGCCTACTATCAGAGCCTTTGTGGTCTCAATGCGCAAAGCCACCTCTGCTTCAGAGTTTGGTCTGTCGTTTGGCTACGACCAACTGACCTTTGCACTCAAGAACAGCAAGAGGCCAATCCTCCAGAATGTCACTGGATCTATCAACAGCGGAAGCCTAACGGCAGTAATGGGCGGTTCAGGTGCTGGTAAGTCAACCTTCATCAACGTTCTCATGGGCAAGACGCAGTATACCAAAGGCAGCGTCACAGTCAACGGCATCCCGGGAAAGCTCAAGCAGTATAAGAAGCTGATTGGGTACGTGCCTCAAGACGACATTGTCTTACCTGAGTTGACCGTCTACGAGAACATCATGCACTCGGCCAAGATTCGGTTACCGCGCACCTGGAAAGATTCCGATGTCGAAACTCACGTTAATGCTGTTATCGACTGTCTGGAACTCTCCCACGTACGTGACAGCTTGGTCGGCAGCGTTGGAAAGCCTGTCATCAGTGGTGGTCAGCGCAAGCGTGTGAGCATTGGCATGGAGTTGGCGGCTGCTCCCATGGCCATCTTCCTGGACGAGCCGACCTCCGGTCTCGATGCTACTTCAGCGAGCTCCATCATGAGCACACTCAAGGCTCTTGGAAAACTCGGTATTACCGTTATCGTTATCATCCATCAGCCGCGAGTGGAGATCTTTGAGATGTTGGACGATATGATCCTCCTCGGAAATGGACAGCTAATATACGAAGGACCTCAGAGTCAAGCGAAGACCTTCTTCGAACAGATGGGTTTTGTGTTCCCTCCTGGTGCCAACTGCAGCGACGTTATCACAGATATCATCACAGGGAATGGTCGGCGGTACAAGGAGGAGGGAGATATATCCAAAGATGCTCTCATTGCCCAATGGGCCAAAGGCTCCAGAGTGAGCCTCCTGACTAATGAAAGCGTGGATAGGTTCTGGCAACCTAGTCACTCCCGAAACCCATCTGACACGACCCTGGCCGGCAGCGAGAGCAGCGACGCCGACACATCCCGCCACAATCGATCTTCTCTAATGTCCATCAGCAAGCTCAAAGCAGGCGCACGTATCTCAATGCTGTCCATCTCCAACCCTCAGCTATCCCGCATTCTGAAGCATCGCGGCGCCCCTCGTTGGCGACAAACTTTGCTATGCCTATTGCGCTCTATTCTCCAGCAGTACCGCACCCGCTCCAATTTGTGGTTCGAAATAGGCCTTTCTACTCTTGCAGGCGTCTTGCTCGGACTCGCTCAAAAGCCAAAAAATGGCGCCTTCTTTCGAGGCCAGTACAACAAGCCATACGAAATCCTGTCTCTCTCAGCAGACTATGTTGCGGCCCCGCAGATGGCGATGCTCATCACCCTAGCCATTGGTCTTTCCAGTGCCGCGCCAGGCGTTAAGCTTTTCTCCGAGGATATGCTCGTGTACCGCCGCGAGGCGGAGGCTGGGCACTCTCGAGTAGCATACTTCCTTGCAAAAACGATCAGTGTGCTTCCAAGGATGGCATTGGCTTGCTTGCACTTCTCTGCTCCATTGTTTCTGATAAGCATGCCTGTAATTCCGTTCTGGACGGCATTCTTAGCCAACTTGTTATATGTGTATTGCATCTACGGATTGGCTAGCTGTATGAGTATGGTGGTGAGACGGGAGGATGCGCCGCTGTTGGCGACGATGGTCAGCTTGATTGTCGGCATTTTAAGTGGTGCGGCGCCGAGCTTGAGAGAAGCTAAAAGGTGGCATCTTGACTGGTTGTGGAGGGCTGGGCCGGGCGTGTGGTTAGGTGAGCTGTATTTTGGGCAGTTGGTCAGGCCGTTTGACTATCTGTATGATGTCAAAATCGCTTCCCAAGTAACGGGATATGAGCTGGATCGGTTGTGGGTTAATATGTTGATCATGGTTGGCATTGGGACGGCGTATAGGCTGTTGGCCTTTGTAGGGCTGGTTCGAGGTGGAAAGTTGAGGGTATAATGGATTTTGACTTGAAGGGATTCATGATCATCAACTTGTTATCGAGGGGTCGTTGAGCCGTACAGTCTGTTTTTGATCATTTTCTCCCGCCGTGATTCGGAGAGTGACGCTTAATGGTGACTTCCTAGACTTGGTGGTTGTGGAAAGAAACGGCGTACCACCACAGTGTATGTGGTAGCGAGAGTAAGAATTTTGACGGTCTTGTCTGCAGGCCAGCTGCATACTAACTGCGAAAATAGGTAGCCTTATCGATGACCAGCGAGCCAGAGTCGTGCTGGATATGGTTGCATTGGCCCCAATGCTAGGCATCCCAACAGCAATAATTGGGCATGTAACAATGGATACACACTTTCACTGCAACACTGATGACTTAGCTACCCCTCCTCCCCCTTCAGACATCAACAAAATTTCTTCATGAGAACTCTTTTAATGCTCATATCGATGAGCTCGTCAGGTCAGACGCACACTGGAAATGTCGACGGAACACGCCACGGAGCTCGTCAATGCTCTCAAAGACATCAAGGAGACCCTAGCTACACAAACCGAGCACTTGAAAACAAACTCGTTGCTGCTCCAAGCGCTCCTAGAACTGAACCAAAAGGAAGTGGGAAAGAGGACGGACGCTGAGCAGCGTGTGGATAATGAAGCAACAAAATCTCCGGACGTTAAAGTTGAGGTCGATCAGGATAGTCAGTACCTCTAGGTTTTTAATCCTACACAACGATCAAGTTCCGGTCTAACACTAGCGTTGCCAGGTGGTCAACGGGAACAGCCCCGGAACAAGTCACGCGCTCTCTACGCCGACGTGCCACCTGACTTCACATTAACGTGGGAACTAACTGGAAAGGATAGAGAGACTCACCATGACAATGAGTGGTATAACGTTAATGACCACAAGGACAAAGAGTGGTATCACATTGATGACCACAAGTTGACAACACCGCGACCTCTGCCATGCCCGCCAGAGGAAATGCACCTGAGTGGGAATCTCTATGTTCCCTATTCTCATAGCAGGACACGACGATCAATCGAGAGCCGTGGACTGGAAATCGACGCAGAAACGACGGGGCTCGACAGTCATGCTGCTACTATAGTAGACGCACTGAACAACCTGTATTCCGTACCCGCAGACGCGAGACTTCCCCTTTGCTTTGAGCCGCTGTCGCTCCGGCGCATGAAAATAACTGGAGAGCTGGATGAATACCTTATCAAGGCCACTCAGTTCCTGAAAGACTTACGCCAAGCCTCTGGAACTTTCATAATCTGGGACTATGATATTCTTGGCAACCACTTTTGCTATTACCCGTCTGACCTAAGCTGGAATATCGAAGACGAACAGCAGTTTCGGCTCCTGATGAGGCGTCGTATGCGGCAGCTGTTCATTCAGGATGGGAGCATTGACAGATACTACAAATTGATACCCCGGTGGATATACTATGGGTATTTTAGGTTAATGAAAAGCCGAAAACATTGGCAAGCCACTGATTGGGCTGCATGCTCCCAAGAATGGCTTCATGTGAGAGCGCATCTCTCGAGCCAGGGTTATTTGGGATTTGATGAGCCTCAAACAATCAGGTACGTCCTTACCACCAATGACAACCACGATTCCGAAGAAAAACAGGACCGGGGGAACAAGATCAAGACCACAACAAGTCCACTACATACTAACTTGACTCCATGCTTTCAGGCCCTGGTATCGTATAATCGACGTCAATGGACTCGAGTGCATTGATGGGGCTGACGTGGCTCGCACATTCGTCCAGTTCCTCACTTCCAGACTCAGCCCTGCATTAGAGTATGATTTCTCAGATTCAGGGTTGACATCGGTTGGCCATCTGCTGATAGCTGTCTCACAACATTTGAAGGCGGACCCTCTTTGGGGTGCTGCAATCACGACGAAAGGGCAATGGGAGACGTTTCACATCTCGTGGTATCGCGCGTCTCCCGAACCGTACAAATCATCTTGGGGATATGGCCCTCTGTATGTGGAGGAAGGGTCCTTTCTCAGCCGCCAATCGTTCAGTGTCACGATGTACTGCTCCAATTACGATGCGCCTAGCACTGAGGACTGCGGCCCATATTGGACCATGCTCGTTCTGCCCCCGCCTCATTTCTATACTCTGCCCGGGGAAAAAGGGGAACCCTTCTAGAATTCGTCGGTCTGTCTATGGACTGGGGTATTGGATTTCATAGACCGTGCTTTGAAACAAGCCGCCACAGACTGGGCGGGACTCGATCCTTATTTCGACCAGCTTGACGCGAAGCGTGAGCTCATATTCGACCCGGGAAAACACGACAGCCTTCTCTTTGACGATAGGCACTTTACGCAATCAAGGCTCTACTTCTGGGCCATCAATAGCCTTGGAAGATTTATCCAGGATATCGACTTTACGATTGAGCGATGGGAGACTTTTTGGGGAGAGAACGAAGACAACTTTCGCAGAACCGAGAAACATCTAGTGACTGTGAACGAGCAGGCCAAAGTCAAGGGCTGTAAAAACGTACGAGGCGTTGTTGACAAGAGTGTTGATCAACTTTGGGCTTCCATTCTTTCACGGATCCAAAGTCTAAAGAACACTCGACAAGTCTTCGAATCCAGAAGGCAGAAGATCATCGAGTACAGAGATGGAGTAAGTGAATAACTTCCCTAAGTCAGTGACAGTGCTCGCACATTGAACAATACTATCTCCTCGCAACCATCACATATCTGCCCTCTGGATATGCCCGTCATCAAGTTCCATCCATAAACCTTTATCCAACGCGGCATTCACTGACCTGAGACTTAGCTCTTCAACGCAAGCAGTGTCATTGAGACCCGGGAAGCGACGAGACTGAGCCAAAATGTCAAGTTATTGACCTTTGTCAGCATCTTCTACCTGCCGCTGGGCTTTTGCATGTCGATGTGGAGTATCAACGAGAACTATAACGCAAACAATCTCGTCGCTGTCACCATATGCATCGGATTAGCAACCTACGTGGTGGTTGCGAACCTAGAAACAACTGTCTATTCCATTCGATGCGGTCTGTCACTGTTAGTTGAAGCACCTAGGCAGCGTTTAGTAAGGAAAATGACGGAAGAGAGCGGCACTCGATGGAGCTTCCTGGGCCGCGAATTGTCGAGGGCTCAACCGAGCAGGGAGGACCCGAAGCCGAGTGAATGGCTTGTCGTTGGGTACTGGCTCGTGACCATATACCGCAGCTTTAAGAGCTTCCGCAGTACGGAACAACCTCTCGCCGAGCTAGACGCAGAACAGAACAACGCTACTAGAGAGGCCCCAACATCCAGAAACCCAATCAACCTCTTGAAGAGACTTCGGCCTCGTCCAGACAAGGACGTTGAGAAAGGAAACCCGCCAACTAAGATTATCACCACGTCCCTTGCAGGGCAGGACACAACATCGGCTTCCGAACCAGAAGAAGCCCCTCGCCTATATATGTAAAACCTCACTCCTTGCAATCAACAGATCCAACGTCAACTGGGCTTATGCATCGCTGTCACCACAATATCCTGACCGATGCTCCCATCCGCTTCTCGCTCCTGCATGCACCATGATGTCTCAAGCCGTCTCCGCCTGTATCCCCGACCCATATGAACTCCCCGCAAGCCCCGTACGTACAAGTCCAGAACCACTTCTTCATCATCGTTTTCGCGCCAAGGGAATATAAAGTACCATCCCAGCTAACGTCGACGTAATCCAGCTTCATGGCTTCACCACAGCAGCACCTGGGACTGTCATCGGCTTCTTCTTCACTGAGACTCCCATGAGGACTTATTGAGATCCCCCATTTCTTCCCTCTTTCAAGGGTGGTAACGAGTGAACCTTCTCCACTTGCTTCCGGTTCTTTGCTGCCACTGCCCTGCCTCCCATCAGCATGACTTCCACCGCGGGCAAAGCCAGCATCGCTGGGAACAGAACCAACACCCTCATCCTTCACAGCGACAACAACAAGCCCATCAAAGGGTTCAACACCAGCCCACCCAACCCACGCCAACCCATACGGACACCGCTTACAAGCAAAGTATTTCCGCCCTGCGTTCCCCTTGGGATTCAGTGGACCAACGGTACAGAGCGTCGAGGGTTGATGGCAGTTGTTGCAGGGCGGACCTTGATTTGTTTGCGCTTCCTGGGAAGCTGGCTTCGCGGATGGTGATGATGATGATGATATCTCGCAATCCAGGCTTGACTTTGGTGGTGATGTTCGCGATGGCTCCAATTTCGCGGGTGTAGATAGGCCGAAGGGGCTGGCGGGGCATGATGTCAAGGGGGTATAGGAGTCGGAACATGACGAGGTGCGGGCTGGAAATTGGCTGGATGAATCCGCTTGGACTTGGGAACTTCGTGACATGGATGAAGGCACGGCGGCGAAATCAAACCGGACGTCGTGGTGATGGTGTTGCTGTTTTCCGGCGTGGTTTACAGGCATGGGTGACGCTGGCGTCGTTCCTGGCCTTTTATGGCAGGAGATAACTTTCGTTGACGTTTGTGGTGCCATGATTGCGACCGTTTGCAAGGAACTGTCGTTGTTAGGTAGGTAATGGTAAGACTCGGATCATTATCGACGTAGCGACGAGAGCTGGGATCAAGGGGCTGGCCTCATGGTGGCTATCGTGTTCATCCTTAGGTTGGAAACTTATTTGGAGCAACCCGGAATTTAGTACAAACAATAAGAATTTCAAGAAGATGTATATCTTGGTGACCTGATGCAAGAGGCCCACGACTCGTCCAATTATATCATTGTCCATGCCTTGATCCGTCCAAGGCCAAATTGGAACCAATCACAAAATGCACCCGTATGAATCGAAAGGAACAGAATACAACGTGACTGTCGCGAACTTCAAGAAATAGAATCGGGCAAAGTAAAGCAAGAAAAGAGAGGATAGGGCATGCGACAGAATAAGCTTGTTGGTCGGGACTCGGGAGTGTCCTGTTCAAGACTGAGGATTCCAACGGTTGTCGTCAAAAGTGGAGTCTGTCTTACACCATGTGAGAGTGAGACGTGAGACCATCCCGTCTGCTAGCACTGGCGACACTTGTTGAGGCAATGGGCGGTTGGGCCCGACTTGGCTACCTACCTAGCGGGTTAGGGCTCAGTGCGACCGAGAAAGCACTGAAACCCCAGCTTGTCGATGGTGATATCCGGCGGATTATAAAGGAACCTCCACTTGTAAAATGTAAGACGCGAGGCGGCGCGATTGACATCTTCTCCAAAATCAGTCTCGCAAGAAGTTGGTCAATTCTGAGGGGACGGGAGGGGGGGAAAGCGGCTGTGCAACCCGAGACTTGCGGCAGGCACAGGCAGCTACGGGCAGGGTAGTTGGGGGCGTATGTCTAGGACTTGATTGCCGGCCGCGGCAGGATGGTACCCCGCCATTCAGCTCATATGTACTGTGTACTGTACTAGTACCAGCCCGCTGGAGCCTGAATCTGGTTTCAGCTTGGGCCCTGATCAGCATCCACATCCCACCTCCCATCACTTTCACCGGTGATCTCTCAACTTGATTCCTCCTCCTTCATCCAAATATCAATTCGTACTTGTGCGCTTCTCATTCATCATAAGCTCACTGCTTCCTATATTGCTTGATATTTCACTACCTAGAATTACAGCATCGCGAATACCGGACACCGACCAGCCATATACTTACCCCACTAAACACCTTCACACACAGCAGCAGCAGCAGCAGCAGCAGCAAGCAACCGCAAATATGGTGAGTGCAGTTCACGACGACGACACAAGGAAGGAATTACCAAGCAACACCAACAAACCCAACCCAACCTTCGCAACAACGAACCATGATATTCCAACGATCTACTGACCAACCCGCGCTCAGACACCCAAATACCCCACACTCACCCCCGAGCACATTGCTCAATTCCGCGAAGTCTTTGACATCTTCGACAAGGACCACACGGGCGACATCACCGCCGAAGAGCTGGGCGTCGTCATGCGCGAGCTGGGTCTGAACCCCTCCAAGGCCGAGCTCGAGGACCTGGTCAACGAGGCCGACATCAACAAGGACGGCGTCATCAACTTTGAGGAGTTTCTCAATCTCATGTCGCAGTCCGTCAAAGAAACCGATTCCGAAAAGGAGCTGCTGGAGGCCTTCAAGGTGTTTGACAAGGACAATTCGGGCACCATTTCGACCGAGGAGCTTAGGGCCGTCCTCAAAAGTCTGGGCGAGGACATGACGGATGCGGATGTGGATGAGATGATCAAGTTGGCGGATAAGAATGGGGACGGGCAGATTGATTGTGAGTCTTGCTTTCTTTTCTACGAAGTTGACCTGTTGTTCATTTGGGTTTGGGCGCTGCGGAGGAGGGGAAGCGCGCAGGCACGGGCGACTGGAACCATTGATGCGCAGATGTGCTAACTTGATCACATGCAGATGCCGAGTTTGCTCAGATCATGAAATAAGCGAGCTGAGGCCGTGAAAGCGATACACACCACGGGGCAGGTTTCACTTTAGTCACCTCAAGGGTGACAAACTACACGCCAAATCAACGAGCGATATCGGACACGCAGAAACGGGCGCACACGCGCTGCGGAAAGGACAGAGAGCCTGGCAGCTTAGGAGCGGGCAGGCCAGGCTGCAGGATGCGAGCTGCAGAAGCTGAGGCAGCGCGGCTATTTTACCATTGAACGGAGATATGCACGTATACAAACGCAGGAACTCTTGTTACTACTGTTCGGGAAATAAGCAGGCGGGCGTAATATATACAGGACACGCACACGGTATGGGCTTGGGTCTGGTTTGGGATAAGTTATGAAGGCCGGAGGCTTTCATTCAAACATACATCAATTTCAGTTTCATGCCTTGATTGCGTTTTATCATCAAGTTAAGAGCGCGTCACTGTTTGATCTGCCTTGGTCGCATACAGTGAAGCCGTGTTCGTTACCGCGGTATAAAGTTAGGAGATATTCAGATTTGCAGGGTTCGGATCGCAGTAAGCTTACTGCCGTACTACGCTCGTATAGCGTTCGTTAAATAATCCTTATTTTTATGCAAATCGCTGCAACTACCTGCAACCACCTGCACGTCCGATTGGACCAATCAGAGGGCTAGAATCTTCTTATTTCTTAACCGTTTTGCTTACTGCTGTACCGCTCAAAATCGAGCGGTATAGCAGTAAGGAACGTAGTAAGAACTACCTATAGCGCTTTACTCTTTATAAATATAGGAGATCGCCGTCGCAAAGCGCCCCCCTCCCCTAAACATCTCTTTAGGGAAAAAAAAAGAAGAAAAAATCTTTTTCTAAAAAATGATAAATGAGGCTATTTCCAATTAAAATCTACCATCTGGACTACACCGTATTTTGCACAGTATATATACTGTGGTAATCGAAAAGAGTCGAAGAGTTGAAAAGATAATTACGGGGGGGGGGGGGGAGGCCATTGGTTATATATACCGAACAGAGCTCAGTAATGAGCTCCCTTAGCATACCTTAAAGCTGCCTTAATGTTGCAGGAGTGCAGCTGCAGACCCTGCACAGTAATGCAGAGGTTAAGGCTAAAACCTTAACGCGGTAACGAACACGGCTTGAGTGGCATGCGTTGCGAAGAAGGGCAAATTGCATTTGCATTGCCAGATGTTGACGAGCAGGTATCAAGCATATAAGCCGGTCTGACAAATTACAGCGTTTGGTACTAACAACCATGGTTGTGGATAGGAGAATTGTGGCCAGTCGCCAAAGCCCATGGAGTCAGTTTTCGAGGTGTCTTTTGAGTCTCATTGGATGAGATGCTACTCATGGATGACAGACCAGTTTCATCATGAGAGGTGACACGATAGTTCAAGACGTGAAAGCAATATACATACAGTCCAGTACTGCTTTATTTGTTAGTTCGAGACCTCTTGTCAACTCCTATGCGTTTTTATGGCTAATTAATCTATAATTTAACCTTGGATACGCCATCTTTAACATTCAAAATACCATATTAAATCCAGTTAATGCCTTTTAATTTGTCCGTGTAGGCTTTGGGACTCTTCGAAATAGATTTCCTCAAGTGCACTATGTATATTGTACTACCAGGAGTGCCTAGTGTACCAAGCTCACAAATAAACCAGCATCGGACTGTATCCCTAATTCTTATCCAGAAAAAGGATGTAACCTCATCAAAACTCGATAACATAGAACAGAGGCCTCTTTGCAAGACAAAATTCAAGCCCCAAACGCCGATGCTATGCAACGCAAAACTACCGTACTTCCCATAGCCATCATCATCTCCAATCGCATCCTCATCGCTCTCTCATGGCTCCTCATTGACACCTTCCCTCTTACCCTTGGACCCCATTATAAGCCACCAAATTCGGACTCATCTCACCCGCATCCCACACCTTGTCCGGAACCCCCAACGCCTTCAACCCACTGTGCGCATCCGAGCTATTCCCATACTTCTCCGGATCCAGACTCTTCAAATACAGCGCCAAGCCCGCGACATGGGGACTCGCCATGCTGGTCCCGCTCATGGTCATGGTCCGATTATTATCCCCATCCTTTTTGCCGATATAAGTGGACACGATATTTACTCCAGGCGCAAAGATGTCCACAATGGCACCATAGTTGGAGAAATACGCACGCGTGTTCTTGTTGTCGATGGCGCCCACGCTGAAGGCACGGGCCGAAGAAGCAGGAGAGACCAGCGCGGCGGGCTGGTTCTCGTTGCCGGCTGCTACGACTGTAAGAATGCCTTGGTCGTAGGCGGCGTCGACGATGGCGTTGAAGGCTTCGGACCGGTCGCATCCCAGCGACATGTTGATGACGGAGTTGCGTTGGCGCTTTTTGGCGATAATGTCTTTGACGGCCCATTCGAAGCCGTCCATTACGATTGTGTTGGCGGACTATGGTGATTGATGGCTTGTGTTAGTTGTCTGTGGGGTGGACAGATTAAGAAAAAAAAAAAAAAAAAAAGAAAAAAGAAAGAAAGAAAAAAAAACGAAAAAGACCTACACCTCCGCCGTGAAACACCTTGACGCATATCACCGTCGCATTCTTGGCCACTCCGTAAGTCTTTGAAATCAGAGTACCTGTTACGTGCGTGCCGTGGCCATCCATGTCTATGAAGGGCGAGTCGGGGTAGGCGTTGTAGCCGAGATGCACGCGGCCCTCGAAGTCGACGTGGTCTTTCCAGCATCCCGTGTCGACCACGTAGGCGTAGGTGCCAGTGCCGGCGGTGGAGTTGTACACATAATCGGAGGAAGTCTTGCCCTTGTGGGAGAGGTAGCCCAGACCCCAGGGCGCTTGCTTTTGGGTGATGATGGTGGTGTTGTCAGAGTTGGAGTCGTCGTTGTCTTTTTTGTTGCTCTTGTAAAGGCGCCAGCTTTTGTCGGGTTCGATAGAATGGACCTGTGGTGGTTTAAGTGTTAGGGTTGGGTGAGACTGAGTAGTGTAGAGAGGTATTCGTTCAAGGGTTTGTTGATGCCGCGCTCAGTGAGACATACATTCCTCTCATCCCGTTGAATGATCTTCAAAGTCTCCTCATCGAATTCACCCGCATACGCCTTGAACTTGCTTCCTACACTCCACGCCTTGTGCACACCGGCCGTGTCTCGGCGCGACAGACTCCTGGCGTGCACATCCTTTGCCCAGCTGAGGTGACCTTCGAGATCGGCATGTGGTTTGAGCAGCACAATGTACTTTTCGGGAATCGGCTTCGTCTCGACTTCGATGATGGGAGCGGCCCATGTAATTGATGCGGGGAGGATAATCGACGCCGCGAAGAGGGCGACGTTTTTGAGCCCGACCATCTTTTTTTTTTGGGCGTTGTTGATACCTAAGGGGAATGAGAAAGACTTGAGACGGGAAAAACAACACCCCCAAAAAAGGATGAACCGTTCACCGTCACTCTCTCTCTCCTGGCTTTCATGACAAAAAAAACAGGCGGGACACAGCGAGCTTTTAACAGGATCCACGCCCCTGCCACCACCAACTTATGTACGCCAAGTCGCCAACCACGCCACCGTCCAGCATCAGCCCTACCCTACCAGCCTACCTCCTATGGAGTCTAGCGTCCACTATCCCCACTGTAGCGAAGCCAGGAATAGCATTCGCTACCCATGATTCCCCGTAGGTAGCGAAGTGCTGGGATGTTGCATACGATGTGTGGATGTGTACAGCGTTCCAATAAACCCAAAGGGAATCAATCCTTCACAATCCCCCCCAAAACCGCCATTTTCAAAGGTAAAACAGACGGCCGATTGGCAATGGGCAATTCGTCCCCCTGCCGCAGGCTACCATAAAGATTGAAAGCAAACAGGGGGCCAAAGGCAGGCACGGCAGCCTGGCAGCACCTCTCCGCGCGCCTTGGTTCTTGGTTTTATGGAACCGACTTGGCCTTTCACCTAGGTACATACCTGGCAATTAGTTGTTTTGGGATTGATTGTCGTTGGGACAAGACAATGCAGCGAGCGAGGCGGCGGCGGCGCTTGTTGGGAGGAGGAGGCTGGGTAGGTAGGTACTCTAGGTACCGGCAATCACTCATTATTGGAGCCGAAAGTAAAAAGTCATCTCGCAACTTCTTTAGTCTGCCCGTATTATGTGAACCACCATCACTTATCGAGAGTGAGTCCAAAAAAAAACCAAAACCAAGAAATGACCATCACTCATTCTGGACATCTATCTTGAGAATGAATGGTCATCGTATTTCTCCCGTTTCGGCGGATAAATCGGGTGTCCCTGTCAAGCCTGTGACGGCAGAGAGGCTCCAAAGTGGGCGGTGTCGTGAACCCCGGATCCCCGTGGTGGGCACTGCCCGCCCCTGCATGGACTTGTCTTTGTGGGCTCCATCGGTCCTGGCCCGCCCGGTGAGCTTCGTTGGACGCTGGGCGTTGCTGGGCACGGGAATAGTGTCTTGGCGTTCTGCAGCCATCTGCCGTGACATGCGAAGACGACGAAGCCAAGGAATCAGGAACTGAGAAAAGAAAAACACATGAAAAGTCAAAATGTTGACATTGTATTCGCTCAAAACTTCCCGATCCTTGTTGACAGCGTTGATAAAGACAAGACGGACGAGAGTGGTTGAAGAATAGGAATGGTGAGATTAAGGGATGGAGCAGATTTCGTCAGCAAACAAACAAGTCTGGGGGGGAATTGTTGTATGCGGCTTGAGCGAACTAAACAATCGATGTGAAAAGTAGGTGTGATTGATCTTCCTGGGGCAGTTACAGATAGAGAAACTGTTACACAGACGTGGCTGTCGAAATTGTATTGGTGTTGCATGCCGCCTGCCGCCAACGGCCCGACGAAAAGGCGATAATGATAGGAATACAAACGAATGGCCGGCCAACTTCCACTTCCCACACTGCAAGCTTCCGAAATTCCAACGGCAAAAAAAAAAAAAAAAAAGAAAAAAAAAGAAAAAAGAAAAAGTCAAACAAAAACATCGATGAGCATGGAACCGACTGCTCTCAAAATGCGCATATTGGATATCAACTAACTTCATCAATCTACAACACCATGCCCCTACCCCTAGTCTACCATTACAAAACCAACTCCAACAGCGCCTCCCATCCACTCTGCGGCTCCCTGTGGATCTTGAGCACATCCTGCCCCTTGACCTCCACAAACAGCACATCGCCCTTGAACCGAACCAGCACACCACCCTTGCCATCGCCCCTGGCTGTGATCCGGTAATAAGGTCCTTCGGCATGCATCTTCTTGCGCTCCGGGATAAACTGCAAGTCGTTCTCCTGGCACCAATCCTCCAGCGCATGTCTGAACGTGATTTCCTCCGGCTGTTTCTTCTCTGCCTCCGCTGGCTGCAGTCGGGCTTCCCGTTCGCGGTGCTTCTCACGATGACCATGTTCACGCTCGTGCCGGGACGACGACGAGTACTTGGATGAAGGCAAAGCGGGACCTCGTTCCGGAGCCTTGAGCTCCGTCTTTACGCCATCACCCAGATCCAGAGCGCGCTCAATCATCTTCATGCCCTTTTCGAACTCGGCCGTGATGGACGGGAGTGACTTGATTTCCTCCGGGAACACTTGATCCTGCCACCACTCGAACCACTGACCAATCTGCTCGTAGTTCGCCGTATCGAGGAGAAGCCACTGATACAGTGCGTCATGCCACATGGGGAACACCTCGACCACAATCACCTCTCCGACCATGGACGGGCGGATGACGTCAAGCCATTTGAACAAGCCTTCGAGCATGTCCATGTACGGCTCCTGGTCGCGCGGGTCGACGCGGAAGTTCTTGCGCATGTACCGCGCCATGCTGGGGAGGAGGTGGTTCATCACGAGCGGACCCCATTGATCGGAACCCCGGCGAGGGCGGAGGACTTCCTTCCATTGTTTAAGGCCCGGGATCACGCCGCGGCTGAATTCCCAGACGTCAATGAGCTGGCGGAATTTGCGCTTGACGTCCGCCACGAGACCGGCCGAGCTCTTGGGGTCAAGGTGGGTCGAAGGTAGGTAGGGGAGCCACGGAAAGATCCACACGTGCGGGAGATTGGATGTGCTGCTCTTCTTTTTGGGGTGCCACTTCTGGACGGCTTCTTCGAGTTTGCGGACAATGTCTTGGAGAAGCTGAGACCGGATAAACGAGGGGATTAGCCCGTCCCAGGCTTCAAAGACAGCGATGAGTTGGTCGGGCTCCCGGACGTCCCATGCCCTCACCGCACTTGCCACAGAGGGGAGCCAGAGCTGGTACATCATGGTTTCGTAAGGGGTTGCTGTGGCCCGGCGATGGGTATGCTTGGTCTTCTGGTCGAGGCCGAGTAGCTTCCGAATGGACATCAGACCATCAACGAAGCCTGGCTTGGGATCCTCGAGTGGTTTCCAGATCTGTAGGTACTCCTTGAGGGCAGGATAGACGGCGGCAACAGCGAGTAAGGCAACCTCGTCCTTGATCTGTGGCAGCATGGCATCAGAAAAGGAGTCGGAGGCGCTCACTAGACCAGAAATTGTGCGTCGCAGCTTGTAGTCAAGGTCCGCCCTCTTGTCAAACTCGCCGCTCTCGACGGGGATAGAGAGCACTTCGCAAAGACCCGTGATGGCCCTGTTCGCTTGTAGGCTTGCCGTGAGCTCGTCCAACTCCTGCTGCTCTTGCTTAAGCTGCAATTCGGCGTATGCCTTGCGTTCCTGAAGGTTCTGCCATTCTTCCAGAATCGCCATAAAATCATTCTGAGCCCGTCTAACGAGCTTTCGCGATTCGGCCGCCTCCGTCGACTCGGCAGGAGTGGTGGTTCCGGTAGGGGTCATCAGGCCTGAAGACGTCGTGAGCATCTTCTTGCCAGGTCCGGTCATATCCAGGATGGGAGTAAAGGCATCGGGAATGTTCAGCCCTGGGGCGACCTTCTTGACCTCATCCAAAGTCATATACTTGGGCTTCTTGGGTCGCGGCGTGCTGCCAGCGCTGGCCGTACCACTTCCCAGTCCGCCAGCCAAAGCCTTCTTTCTGCGAGCGGCCTTCTTCTTTTTCTCCTCCTCTTCCGAGTCTACCAGCTCCTCTCCACGCAGACGTGCCTGCCGCTTCTCTTCTTCCCGTTCTTGTTGCGTCTTTTCCTTGACAGCGCCCAGACCGGCACCCTGGGGCCGGAGGTTCGCCTCGATAATGACGTTGCGTCCCTGGCCTTCTTTACCGAGACCCTTGCCCTCCTCGTACCCCATCTTGGCCATCATACGGGCCGCGAAGGACATCTTATTGGTTTTTGTCTTTCCATCTTTTGCCCGAGCAAAAGCACTGGGTAGGGCGACGCGGGGCGTGGAAGGTTCATCGTCGTCTTTGGTGAGGAGCGTCGGTGCTTTGGCCGAGGTCGGGGTGAATCCTGGACCGAGAGGGTTCGACATGTTGATTGTTGACTTGACAAAGGATTGTCGTGGCGGACTCTTTTCTTGCTTTTGTTGTGTCGGAGGTACCCATCCCAATCCTTGCCCTGTTGCTGCAGCGGCGGCAGATTTGAAGCCCAGCCCAACGCCTCGTGACTCTTCCTCTTCTTCTTCTTCGTCCTCCTCCTCGTCCTCAGCATGGGCAGCCTTCATCGATGGTCTCGCGTCGTACTCGTCATCCTCGTCCTCTTCATCATCAATATCATCTTCATCCTCGTCCTCGTCCGAGTTGGCTGGCTTGTTGTTGGCTGACGAGACAAAGCTGACGCCCTTTGTGCGGAGGTTCTTGCGCTTCCATCGAGGACCGTCGTCTTCGCTTTCGGAACCAAAGACACCAAGGGCCGCGGCTTCCTTTGCGTCGCGACCAGTTCGGCGTCTCTTGCGCGGGTTGAAGTCGGCGAAATCGTCATCGTGGGGATCGCGCGATGGCACCTGGAAATCATCAATGTCGTCCGCGTCCGAATCCGAGGACGAGTAATCGGCGGCAGTGGCCTTGTTGAGTTTGGAGGCGTCGAAGTTGAACCCGCCAAGGCCAGCCATGATGGCGATTTCGGATCGAGTGTGGTCGGGGGAAAAAAGACAAAAGAGAAGCGGGAGGTGGTGATAACGGCGGGATGTTGTTGTTTGGAAATTGTTTGGAGGTTGCTCGCTCGCTACAAGCTACCTATCGATGTTGACTTCTGTAGCACTGAGCAACAGGCGTCGTACAGTGACCGGGGTGTGTCCCAATTGATGGGGTCCAGCGGGTGCAAGTGGCGTCAGAACTTTTGGCCCCTAGAGGTACCTTCTTTGACTTATCGGAGCTTCACCCCCGCAAGATCATTAACACTTGTTAATGCATTTCTACCTGCGAAGTTTGGTACAATCGCGACTGGAGGGCTGATTGCATTAAAGCGTGTGTTACTCTCGACTTCGATTTGGCTGCAGTTGGTTACAAGTCACGCCTAGGTATGAGACAGAGTAAGTTAACGAGACAATGTCATCGATATAGTGCTCGGTATTAAACGTCCAATATCAAAATCATATGTGCAAAATGATACTGCCTGGTCACCCAAGGTCGGATGTCTGGCATCATGATGTCTGGGTATCTCTCATTATGTCCCAAACCGGACTTGGCTTTTCTCCACCCCGCTTTTCATGCTTCAAACGATTACCTGCCCCTCCAACGCGATTTCCATCAAATCTCAAATCTCATCAACTCTTCCGCCGACATACATGACATCTGTTCGATTCAACTTGTCATCTCCGCGCCGCTTTCATGCACAGGAGGACGCTTTCTAAAATCCTGCTCGATTGCAATAAACCCGACATCTTTGAACTTTGAATCATCCCCGGCATCTGAATCATCAGAGTTTGTCGGTCCCTCCTCGTCGCCCGATGAACCGGACGTGATGCCTTCAGTATCATTCGACGCAGTCGACCAATTGCTGCCCCCGCTTTCGCCCGACGAAGAAAAAGCCTCCGATGGAATCATGTGCCGCTGCATGATGCTCTCCCATGTCTCTTCCTCTGTGGCAGGTGGTAGCACCTCTGCTGTGCCGTAGTCGTGCTCCTCCAACCCCGCGATCCCATTCGGCAGAGAAAGATGGACGTCTGGGATGCTCGGTTCGTGCCCGCCGCTTGGGCTTGGCCTGTACACCATGGGCGACTTGACTCTGGCAATCTTGCCGCTTTCCCAGCCCAGTGATTCTGTTTGAGGACCTGAAGCTGTTGAAGAAGGCACCCCGCGAGGCTGGCGTACTTTGGCCCAATGTTCGACAACGCTCTTTACCTGGTCGGCGAAGCTGATGAAGCCCATTCCAAATGTATCTGTCGTCAGGCTGGTGTCGATTGGTATACTGACTGTCTGGTAGTAGCCACTGGTCGTCAATAGCCTACTTGCGAAAAGCTCTGGGAATTCTTCCTCGGCGATGTCGATGGCGTCGGTCCACCGTACTTGCTCACCCAAGATGAAGCTCTGATCCCCAAGAATCTTGGGACTCAGAGCTTCGACATGAACCCGTGCCACATCTTCGACATGCACCGACAACCCCGCGTATACCCCCTGACTGTGACCTAGGAGCAAGGCTGCCAACATGGAGTTTGTGCCCCGCATCGCCTGCTTCTCCGTAGTCGCTGCCGTGTTGGCCCCCAGCACGAAGCCGGGATGTATGTAGACGGCGTCAAAAGGTGGGCGCTCGTTCTTCATGTACCCCTCCGCCACTTGGAGTGCTCGACATTTGGAGGCTGCGTAGGCGGCAAACTCGGATTGGTATGGTCCTTGGTCGACGGGTATCCGGTCTTCGGGAAGCACTGGCCGTGTTCTCTGTTCTTTGCCCTCCATTTGTGATATTGGAACAATTGCCGCAATGGAACTGGTAAAGACAACACGTCTCACGGTTCCGCTTTGCTCAGCGGCATCAAGGATGTTGAGTGTTCCAGCAGCAGCAGGCTTGATGAACGTCTCGCGAGCGTCATCTGTGGTGATCCAACGAGCCGACTTGCTTGGTAGGGGAGACGCTGCGTGGATGATGTAGGCGGCATCTTCGGCAGCCGCCACGAATGCCCCAGGTGTCGTGATGTCTGGCACAACGATAAAGGAAAGTCTCGAACCGGGGTTCAAACGGCGTACTGCGGGTCGAGCTCGGATTGTGTGTTCGTCCTCTGCCTTTCGGACAGCGCACCGGACATGATATCCTTCACCGAGTAGGAAACGAAGAATGGCCCAGCCAAGGTGGCCGGTGGCGCCAGTCAACAATACTGTGTCTCCGAATGCCATTTTCGGCGGTCTTTGCTGTCTGGTGTTTTGTCTTTTCTCGTGTAATGGCTGATGATAATGTGTATATTCAGTCGATGGTGAGCCAAGCTTGAAACGTCGAGAGAGTTGGATCATAAGAGGAGGTCGACGTAGAGAACTCAGGAAAGGGTGGGCAACAGCCTAAAGTATTAACATGTGCCGCGTAACGCCCTCCATCGATGGCATCGGAGAGCGCTTCCCCCTTTCGGCTCCCAATCGCACCCCATTGTCTGCACCAGCATCAAGGTATACGTACCTCAGCCACGGAGGGCCTCGCCTCTCATCTGTTTCAGCTGTCTTCTGCTGACCACAAGCCTCCAACAAGGGGCAATCACAGTTACGGCCCAATGCCAAAGCTCCCTTCCCACAGACCGCAGTTTCCGGAGATTTGGTCCAGAGTATTTCTGGTCACGGTTTCGACGTCACCATTTCAGCACATTTTTTTGCTATGCCACGTACCCTCCGTTGTCCGAGCGGTACTAACCGAGACCGCACATTGCACTCGTACCGGGCACTCGAACAAGGACGTTACCTCCGACATAGCCGTCCCGCATGCGCTTTCGGGCACCCAGCGGCCGACTTACCGACGTCGGCAACACAAGCAATGTCAAAGACGTCGTCAGCATCTTCCTGCAACTGCCCAAACGTCTCATGCTCGCATCTTGGCGTTCCGTGTGACCCCGACTGTTTGTGGCGGCTTGGGCGTCGGCCGAGAGACGATGCTCCAAGGAGGTCATTTTCTCTCCCAATCTGACCAGAACGGTCTCAAGTACCCCAGATCAATCACGGCAGTTCGAATCGACCCCTTCTTAGCTCTGCATGCATGTCTGCGGTGCGCAGATGGTACCGTGATATGCGAGATTTCCAGCTCGCCAGTCGGAGTTCGCTGAACAGTCAAGACCGACTACAAACGACAGAAGCGATGGTGACACAGCAGGGGCAAACATGAAAGCTGCTGATTTGGTAAACAATCACGAAGCGTTGCTTGATTGACGCATCTCGGATATAACAGCAATGCCTGCGACTGACAGGTCAAAACAAGTTGCATCTGCCGGCCGCCGACTCTGACGCGTCCAATGCAAACCGGCACCTTCGACTCCTTCGACTCCTTCGAGGGGCACGAGAAGCACATATGGCTACCTCCCTCCACGACCCGGTAGCACGCGGCGGCGGCGTAATGCACATTTGGTCTTTGTTCATCCCTTGCATAACCCCCGCGTGGGATCTACAAATATGTAGCCGATGTCCGTGGTCTCCGACAAAGTCGCAACAATGGAATGCGGGCAGTGGGCGGGCAAGGCGGGTTTGCCCACGCTCTCCACGCTGGCCAACAGTTTGAACGGCGAACGGCGATCTGCACATATGTCTCTACCCGCCGCGTCTGGACAACATCTTCGCGTCACACACGCACTTGCAACAATAATCTTTTCGGTCCCGTGAGCCGTGAGACATGATTTGCAGAAGTAGCCGACCGACAGACAACGACCTCACCTCTTTCGGTCTTTTGACTGACCGTGAAAGCTCGATCTGGACCTTTTGTTTCGCCTACAACTGAAGCTGTCTCGGTTTCTTTTAATGCTGGTGTCACCCATTTTGACGGATGTTTTGGCAGCAAGCCACAGATACACACAAGCTGGGCTGAGGGTAGCCGCGGCCTGGCCATGGTGTGTCGAGGCAACGCCACTGGTCACACCAAAATAGGAGATTCAAGATCTGGGTTACGCCACGGGGGGATTTTGCAACAAAGGGCAACAAAGAACACCCTGACACGCATTATTCACATGGCGAGATCTGAGTGGCAAAGACACACGTTAACGATTTCGAGGAATAGGGTCCGGAATGCGGAGAAGACACGGATCGGGGTTTACTCCGGGCCAGGAACGAGCGAACGACAACAGCACCTTGTTATGCCACGCTTGGACCCGTAAATACTGAGGCCGGGGTCTTACAACTTTGGTCCGGCATTGTGCTTGGATATCCTGGAAATACTATTTCATTTTCAGCCTCAAATGGGCGAGACCACAAGCTGCATCGCAGTCCCCCACTTGTGTACAACATGTTCATAAGCAGAAATCGCTACCCGATAAGATTCCGGACTGGCATACTGCCTCCGGCTCGCCTGTGCCCCCGAATCCCCCACGCGGATAACGGCCCGGAAGATCACCGGTTCCACAACGGGCGTCGAGGCGATAATCATTGTCAGCATATCGTATAAAGTATCAGTGCGGCCAAGGGATAGATGAGCCTATGCTCCGTCCGGTTCCTGGTTCCAACTGTAACCAGCGAGTTACCAACGGCATTTCCCTCTTCAACTCTGCGATCGCGACTTCAATCTTCACCTATGGTCACAAGCTTATGTCGGACGGCAGACATTGCTGCCAAACCACACCGCGCGAAGATATGGCACAGTAGTCCTTGTGGCCGGCCCTGTTCATTGTAGGAGCCATTCTTCTCACCCATTGAGGGGTGAGTGTGCAGGTACGTCATCGGCTCCATTGTCGGCCATTTTCTCCTACGGTGGGACGTCACTAGCGGAACATGTTCTAGGAAGCGCCGTTCGTGAAAACACGAGGGGCGTTCGTTCGGTGAAAATATCTGTGCAGTGCAGTTCGGACGAGGAGTTCCTGGCTGGATTTACATCCCCTGCTCTTGCTTTCGCGGGGGCTCCCGGGGTGTAGATTCGCAGTCGTTCTTGCATTGACTCCAATTTTCTCCAATATGTCAAACCGAAGTCCTCTTCCCACCTCGATGTTCATCCGGCACTCTGAGCCTTAGCCGGCGTCACAACTTCTCTTATCCGAACTCATCGTAATTCTACAGTCATCACACCACATGCTGGGCTCTTCGTTATCACACTCAGCCCTAACCCCGAAATCGGCCTTTCCAGCTTACCCCTGAATGATGAAAACAAACGCCAAGTGTTCAGATATCTTATCTTCCGTCAAGGTGATGCGTCTCTACTTCCAGCTTCTATGGCTTCTTTCTGGGTTTCTTTACTAGCAGAAGCTTGGTCCTTTCATGGAGAGATCAAGTTCGGGTGCCAGTCAATGTTGAGTGGTGTTGAAACAGGCAAGAGGAGTCACGTCAATCAATCAGTCAAGTAATCTCTTCTTTCTGAATCACGCAGAACACGGTGAGGCAAGCTCAGTTTGCGTTTGACGATTCCACTATGACGTTAACAAGCCTGCCGGTGATGATGCAAACACAATTTTCCTACTATAAAGTCCGACTATCCCATTGGTTGTCTACGACCACTTATCGTGCCGACCAAGCTACACCGATATTAACTATTCAAAATCTACAACTCCTCATCTGAGATAACCTATCAATATGATGGCTCTCTGTTCACAAAGAACTTCCAGCCTGTCAATGTTTCAACTACGATGGACCATGGTAACATATTTTGCCTTTCGGGAGGTTCCCGATGAATTTGATCTGTCGAAATTTGAAGCACAGGCATGGCGCTGACAATGACACTTGATGTTTTCCCATCAGATGATTCGTCTATTCCAATTCGACCTATGAGCTTAGATTCTACGGGCACAATGTACGTCTCTTGGTACCACTATGTCACTGAATCGAAAATATCAAGTCAAATGTCTCCTAAACCTCCTCCAAATTTTGGGTTCCTTTCAACTCTTTCTCGCCCAGTTTCCTATCTACTCATATTGATGAGACTCTTTTCATCCGCCGCTCATAACGAACTAAATCAGTGACCACCGAGAAACTCGCAACTCAAATGGGCATAACAACCAATACCCAAGCCATCAAGATGGGCAAGTCCCTTAACTCTCCAAATTTCCATGCACTTACGGCCACTGACGCTTTACCCTCTTGTACTTCTACCTAGTCAACGAGTTTGCCAACTCTCCAGTTCCTATCAACGCCCAGAGACGCATAAATATGGCTAGGGCAATCGTTGAGCTGGCCATCGACTCACTGAAAGCGCATCGCAATCTCGACTGGCTCAAGGATCTCGCTAAACAAGAGTTGGAACGTTCGCTGAGAACGAATGTCACCTCTCGAATGAGGGGGAAACACAATCAGAAGATTCTGCTTTGGTATAAGGTTGTGAGTGTCATTGAGGGCAAGGATTACCAAATCCTTGTGAGAATTAAGGCCCGAGACTGCGGAGTTGAGGTGGAATAGAGGGTTGGAGTATGGACTTTGGAGGTTGAAGCGGGGAGTTGGGGGGGAAGGACATTGGCAGAACGCTGGAGATTATAAGAAAGTGCAAAGGAAAAGCAATGGAAAGCTGACGTTGGTATTGGAGATGCCTGGGGGTAGGCCGGGGATAAAGGAATTTGGCGTTGGGGTTATTATCTGAAACATGAACCCCCCTCTTTGTTACCTCCATGCTCTATGCTGACGACTTCCACTTGCCTTTAATCTTATCATTGCACTGATAACTCCATGCTCTGAAAAAATTGTTCAATTATCCCACTCTAACGCGTAGAGGTAATGAAGGTTTGGAGTATAAGATCGTCGACGAGCCTGACGACATGAAGTTTGTCAGTTACCTCGAAACTTCGCTTGGCGAGCCGTTGGAGGGCAAGGGCAAGAAGAGGGAAACCTCTGGTAAGTACAAAGATCCCCCTCATAGTTTATTAAGGGGTTGGCCTTTCAACAGTTGCAGATGCTAACGTGTCTGTTATAGCTGGCGTCAAGAAGAGTCTTGATAGCAGAGATGACAAGGAGGAGGACTGGGGACTTGTCTGAGATCCCAGTAAGGGCCGAGTGATTTGATACGGAACCTATCCTCACCTGTTCGCATCTCGTTGAATGTATTCGACTACCAAAACGAAAGATCGATGAACAGTGGCCGTGGGCTGGCCTGGGAGTGGGACAGACATCACGAACCACCTCTCCACCAGCTCCTCAAACCATTCACTTCAAAACAAATGCTGGCTGGAGCGTAAAGCTACCTAGAGGCAGATAGGTACCGTGACCTCCGAACAGCCTCTGAACAGGCTGTCTGTTTCGTCAACCTGGATCCACCAAAGCTCAAGTGAAGGGAAACTTCGAACCACGGACCTGGATGATTAGTGCCTGAAAAATCAACCTGTCACTGCGTACCACCTGCTATAAGAGCTCGCCGCCCTCTCTCTTTCCCAATTCCAAACTTTTGCCTTGCAACCTCACAACCCCAACCATAATCACAACTGCCGACCGACTACCACTCTTTAAACCACTACACTATCCCACACAAGATGTCGTCCAACATGTACACCGAGGGCCTCATTTCCCTGAGTAAGTCGCATCTCCATCTGCCACCCGATTGTCAATTCACCTCTACAAAGGGACTAAAACTTCCTCCCCTCCATGACAGTCAACATACATGAGAAAAATTACCCCCATGATTCTCCCACAGACTTTCGATTCGGCTACGCGGTCGGCCTTGTCGGCCTAACTGCTCTCAACGTGTCGGGCGACTACACGGCCCAAGAATTTCACGACACCATTCGCGACTATGCGGCTACTCTTCGAAAGGAGCGGGCCCTGGCCGAGACCGATGAGAACCATGAGATGACTGCGAAGCTCCTTAGCAGGGAGTTTATTTGCTACGACATGCTGGACGTTGTTTGCGGTAAGTGTTTACTCTCTGTCAGACCCAGGATGCCCATTTCCAACCCGAACCTATCTGACACCTGCTGGACAGAGCTTCAGAGCAATCGCAGTGAGACCAAGGCCAACAAAGGTATTGTCTCAAACAACGATATGATCGTCAACAAGGAAGACGAAGTTGTCATCAACAAGAATGATATCGTCCATGTCGACGAGGACAACGAGTTTGGTAAGCTATAGCCGAAGATGTGTAGCAATTACATGTCGATTTAACTTGAGCTAACATCCAACGTGATTTAGTCCTGATCAGCGACGTCGAGAGCGAGACGACCGACTCCGAGGCGGATTCGTCCGAGTGGGAGCTGGTTTAAAACCACGAATGCAGATGGTCGGCTGGGGACTTCACTGTGAGGACGGGATATTGCGCTGAAAATTGGGAAAAGGAGCAAATGGCTGCGAGATATAGAAGCGGTTCAAGTTCATGATGGACATCAGAATAACCTCCGACATTAAACACAACAAGTTCAGCATTCAATTAATCTTTGTACCTTACCCGCAGTTCTTGAGACTCATTGTTACCTCTACCTTCACAAAGTGCCCCATTGTGACGTGCTCATTATACGCTGGGGATGATTGTCGAGTTCCCCGTATACATTCAGATTTCAGGACTACACCAGTGAATCGGACAACTGTTCACAGATTGGATAGATCATTTGGTACAGGTACTCACCGTCGTCTCCCCAGGTCAATCCACACCAGTGAATTGGACAGCTGTGCACAGGCTAGAGGGATTGTGTTCAGGTTCAGGTATGCTTTTCGCGGTTTGGTCTTCTGTAATTGCCATTCACCACAACCTAACACTGGTATAAGAACTGCCCCTCCACAAGCTTTCTGGTCTCAAACTCTCTCCCTACACAACACAACCTCGATCAAAATCACAACTGCCGACCGGCCAACTCTCTTCAAAACTTTAAAAAAACACCTATCCAGACAGAATGTCACGCAGCATGTACACCAAGAACCTCATCTCCCTGAGTAAGTCGCATCTCCGTGCATCTGCCTTCCTGATTTCGTCAACCTACCTGGGCAAACCAACTTTCTAACACTTCGTTCTCCATAACAGTCGAAAAACATGAACACAGCTACCCGCATAATCGTCCCACCGGGACGCGTCGTGGCTACGCGGGTGGATTGTTGGGCTTCTTTGCCCTCTTCGTGGACGACAGCTACACCGCCGAGGAGTTCAAGGAAACCATTCGTGGCTATGTGGCCACACTCAGACAGGAAATTACGCTGGTTGAGAGCGACGAGGTAATTGCAAAACTTTCCAGCCGCGAGGTCATTTGTTACGATATTCTCTTCGTCTTGTCCGGTAAGAGCCCACCAACCCTTCGATGCCCATTACCAAATCAGATTCAATTGACATGTACTTGGCAGAGCTGGAGCTCATCGGAACCGTGACCGGCAAGCTTAATGTCTTCAACGGCATGGACAGTGTCGTCGACAAGAACGTTTGTGTCAACGAGAACGTTGGCGTTATCATGAACAAGACCGTCGATGTCACCGAGGAGAGCATGGATGCAGACGAGTTTGGTAAGTTCCTCATGACAATTGGTGGTTGGGCTAGAGCTAACTGTCGTCGTACCACAGTCAATGTTACGGAGAGCGACGCGGGAGTCTCGGAGGCAGATTCCACCGAGTGGGAGATCGTTTGAGCCACCGAGGACTACAGTAGAGGTACCTATAGAGACTTGCGTTGAGCGGAAGTGTCCTGGGAGATTTGGGAGTTTGAAAATTGCAAATTGCTACATGACATAGAGGTAGAAATGGTTCAAGTTCGTCATCGGCGTATAGCTACTGAGTGTAAAATACTATAGAATTATCAATTCATAGACCTTTTATATCTATAGTTCTTTAGACGTCCAATGAGGCACAGAATTTTGGTACCCTATAGGTTCGAGTGCATTTTACGCTGCGGATTACTATCAAGAACTTAGCATATATTCAGGCTTCAGAACCACACCGGTGAATTTGAACAACCATTTACAATTTGGATGGATTAAGTCGGTTTGTGTAGGTTTTTATAATCGTCATACCCAGTCAATCCACACACCGGTGAATTGGACAGCTGTGCACGGATTAAAGGGATTGTGTTCAGGTTCTCATTTATGCTTTTGGCGTTTTTGGTTTTCCGTATTTACCTACTATTCAACACAATCCGAACACTGGTGTATAAGAACTGCCCGCCCCTCCACAAGTTTTCTAGGTCCAAATGCTCTCCCTACTACACACAAACTCCTACGATTTACCCGAACTGCACTTACCAACCCACCACCTCTCTCCTACCAAATCAACAACAACTCAACAAGATGTCTTCGAACATGGGTACAAACATCATCTATTTGGGTAAGTTGCATCTCCATCTGCCCCTCGTCCGGTGACCTTGATAGAGGCAGGTACATACCTACCTAGAGGTACTAACACTTCATCCCCAGTCGAGAGGATTGATCGCCACCCCCGCAACATGCCAGCCATGAAACGTATGGGATACGCGGTTGAGGTTGTTGGTATCGCTATACAGGGCGGTTGTACCGCGGACGATGTCAAGGGTACTGTACTCGACTACATCCGCGTCCTTAGACGCAAAATAGATTTTGCCAGCAGTGCCGAGGAAGTCGCCCAGCTTCGTCAAAGGGAGATTCTCTGCGGTGATATCATCGCCACCGTATGTGGTAAGTTCTATCACACTTGGATTACATATTTCCATTGCGAGTATAGCTGACTTGTGCTGTGCAGAGCTTAGACAGAAAGCCACTGTCCACAAAGATGTTGATGTTGTCGTCAACCCCAATACTTTTGTCAAAGAGGATAATGTCGACATCGACGACTTTGGTAAGTGCTGCTCGAAGAACAGAGCAGACAAATACTGGTTTGATTGTAGCTAACTGTCGCTGTCTTGCAGTCCTTATCCACGAGATTGGCACCGGAAAGTCCGAGGCAGGAAGTGCCGAGTGGGAACTTGTTTAAGGCCAAAAATGGAAACAACCTTCGAGGGGGACTTGCTGTCAAGTAATGAAAAGGGAAGCGAAGCCCGAGAAACTTTTGAGAAAGGAGAAAACCAGGAGTTGAATCTTAACATCGGGTTCTAGTAGTTCAAATTCATAATGGATATGCGAATCCGAGGGAGTGCACGTTCAAGACCTTTAGGCAAAACAAACACATAATTCTTTGCCATCCACATTCGCCACTCTTTTTTCTACACATCGTGAGATATATTTCTCTGCACAAAGTGCCTTATGATGACCCTCAACTACATATACACGCTGCGGATGGCTATCACAACCCAGCCGACATCCAAAACCGCACTGGTGAATTGGATAACTGTTCACAGATTAGATGGATAGATTTTGTTCAGGTTCTTATCGTCGTTCCACCCAGTGCTTTTCGCCTGTCCGGTCACTGGCATATGCCATTCACTTGTTTTCGAACACAGGTATAAAACTGCCCCTCTATCAGCTTTCTGGCTCTCCCAAACTTTCTCCTTGCAACTCACAAACTTCTACGATTTAACCCACCGACCAAGCACCTCTCTTCCCTTACAATTTCACAACAACAACACCCTGACAAAATGTCGTCCTCTATGCAAAACCCCGCCAAGGAGATTATTTCCATGAGTAAGTCGGACCCCCAACCTCCCCTTATCAGCCAACGTCGACAGCCGACCTCAACAGAGGCAGTTACTAACAATTCTTCCCCAACAACAGTCGAGAGACTTGATGGCCACCCCCATGGCCTCCACGCCGACAAGCGATTTGGATACGCGGTCGGCTTGGTGGGTTGCGCTTTGCAGAAAGGCTACACCAAACATGGGCTCAAGCGCATTATTTGCGACTATGAGGTCAGCCAACGACAGGAACTCGCCCTCGTCAAGAGTGACGTCCAGATCAAAAATATCAGTCGCAGGGAGCTCCTCTGCCGCGACGTGCTCGACATTATCATCGGTAAGAGATTCCATTGACATAAAACATGCGGTGTACGAAACCCGCCGTGGCCATTGCAACTGACTGACGTGTATTGTTCAGAGCTTGAGAACAACGACAGGAGTCGCGAGCAGGCCAAGGCCAACAATATTGCCGCTTGGAACAAGGACGTTGTCGTCGCGAATGGCTTTGCGGTCCACAACGACAACCAGCCTGTCACCGACAAGAACCTTGTTGTCAACGAGGACAATGTCGATACCCTCGATTTTGGTAAGTGCTATTGAGAACATGAAGTAGTAGATGAACAACGCCTGGGTCAGAGCTAACTGTCACTGTGTTATAGTTCACATCACTGGAAGCGATGTGGAGTGCTCAGAGGAGGATGCTTCTGACTGGGAACTGGTTTGAAGGTTTCCCATGAAGAATGCCAGGTAAATTGTCACAATGTCTTTTAGTGGGATCCTGTAATGAAGAGGAAAGTCTGGACTTTAGGGATGCTTGTATGCCAATGGTATCTTGGAGTGGACAATTCAGAATCCAACCTCACAAGCACAAGACATCCGAGGGATACTTCAATGGACTACTCACCGTTCATTATGGGATCTCTTCATAATTGACATCCGAGTGCAAGTCCAATAACCAATACCTCCAGGCCGAAGAAAACATGATTTTGGCCATGAACCTCTATAATCCCCACTCTTTCCAGAATTCCTCTTGAAAAATAGCTCTACCTGTCTGAAGTAAGCGCCCCGTGGTGACCCGTTAATTACAGGCTGTGGATGTTCATCATTGGAATTCCAGCAGACTGGAAATTCAGAACCACTTTGGTGAATTGGACAACTGCCCGTGCACAGACTAGTTGTACAGAAGGACCAGGTCTTTTTTTCAGGTTTGTACTGGTATTTTCGTTCATCCAGTGCATACCGCCTTTTTTTTGGGTCTCCCCTTCACTTCACCTCGGACACTAGTATAAAAATTGCCCCTCCACAGGATTTCTGGTCCTCAACTTCCTTCCTCTTCGCAACTCACAACCGCACAACCTACTGCAAATCAACCCAAAGCACCTACCAGCCAACCCACTTTCTTTCCCTTACCTCAAATTCTCAACAGCTTTCATCAATTACAATGTCGTCCTTCAAGTCTTCTGTCGATGTCATTACATTGAGTAAGTCGCACCTTCGTTTGTCACCGACTTCGACAGAGGCATTTCATGTTACTAACACTTCGCACAACAGTCGAGAGAAGCGATGACCACTCCATCCCCGATATGCACCCTATGAAGCGTTTTGGGTATGCGGTTGGTGTCCTTGGTTTTGCCGCCCTAAAGGGCAACTACACCGTAAATGGGTTCAAGGACATGATCTGCCACTATGTGGCTACCTTGAAGCGCGGCCTCGCCGATGCCGACACGAATGAGCTCGTCAAGAAGCTTCAGTACAGAGAGCAGCTTTGCGGAGATATCCTCTGCGCCCTGCTCCGTAAGAGTCTTTGTCAAACTCGCGATGTCCCTAGGTAGCTAACACTTGTTGTACAGACCTGGAGCAGAAGCGGGATGCTACCTCTAAGGATATCAACTTGAACGAAGTTGTTATCACTGACAACAACGATTCGGTCCACAACGCTGTCGAGATTGTCGTCGACAATGCGTCGGCCGTCGATGAGAGCAACTCGGATCACGAGTTTGGTCAGTGCTGCCTGAGAACACACCTGTGAAGCAAACAAAAGGATAAATTGGTCAGTGCTAACCGTCGCCGTACTCAGAATTCATCAACGAGAGCGATGCCGACGTTTCGCAGGCAGATAGTTCGGAGTGGGACCTTGTTTCGGAGATGTCCGACTACCTGTAGGGGTACTATTATGGGAGGTAGTGCCTACAGCATTCATCTTGTGTGGTGGTTTCCCGGGAAGCTCTTTTGCAAGAAGGCCGAGATTGGCGATATCACATGTTCCATCTTTACTTCCTTAAAATGTAGTTCGTGATAGACTTCCTGATGTAATGGAAGTCAATACCTAGCTACAACGAATTCGTCATTTTATTACACACTTCTACATACCTATGTCAATTACCCTCTTTCTACCCAGAATCGCATGAGTTCAGCGCCCATGGGAGTCGGGTCACCCTGGGCATCGCCTCGACCGCCGCGTGCCCGAACCTCCCAGTGTTTGCTGCAAAGTGGAAGACCGTATAGAGGTAGCGTACACCCAAGAAATTTGAAGAAATTGTTCGCTCGTATTTTGATGCCGCCTCTCTTAAGCAGGAGAAGTGGAACGCCCACTCTCCGGCCGAGGAAATGGTCACAAGAATACCGCCTGATAGATCCAAGTGAGCTAGCTTCAAGAAGCTACATTTGATTATTCTTTGTATTTACCTATTCAGTAGGTCTCTTGTCATTTTTTCCACTCACTCTCATCAGAAGCGTCGAGCCAGGTGGGGTGAATTCAGCGTTTGCTTTTCGTCGAAGCCCGGTCGGCTGCTTTCGACTTGCTTCTCTTGGTCCACTGCAAGTGCCATGTGCGAGGTGTGAAGCTCTCGAAATCTGTAATGACTGTAAAGGTCACGGGGACTACACCACCTGAAATTGGTCCTTCTTTCCTTGCAGTTCTCAACCTCCGCCGTGCAACACCAACGCGCATCCATTTGCACCACACCTTTCACCTCTCTCAAAACCGTGCACATTGGTTCACCATATATAACGTTCAACAAACGTCATCATTCTTCGATAACACCTCTAGGAAGATGTAATCCATTGGAATCAACCTTGCAATGATGACTAAGTCGCTTCTCCAGAGTTTGCTAACCACACAGTTTTCGGTCTCCCTCTCATGTCATCAACCATCACTACTAGAGATACCTTCTAACCCACCTTTCTCAACAACAGTTCAGTCGTACACTGAAGATCATTTGTACACTCCCAATGAGCGCGAAGCTTTGGCCCGTCACTTGATTGCGGATAGCAACATTGACAGCTATGAGAAATACGAGGAGGTGATGTTTGCCCTGCATGGGTACATCAACCCTCTCAGAAAGACTTATTGGAAGAGGAAGGCTCGCGATGCCGAGGAATTGTTCACCATTCAGAGGCGCGAGCGCCTTGCCATCGAACTTCTTGGCTTTATCAAAGGTATGATGAGTCTTGGTTACGTCCTGTGTGGTTGTGGGGAGGCGGCTGACATTAGTGGATGGATGCCTCTTTTGATGACAATGAGATCGGTGAAGGCAACGTTTTATGTTCCTGCCCCTACTGGAAAGAACAGGATATGTACTTTCGTCGTAGACAGGCTGACAGCCGAGGCCTGTGAGTAAAACCAATGATGACCTCCTTCATACAAGCCCTGTTCAAATTTCTGAGTGGAAAAGCCAATGCGGTTCATGCTGTAGTCGTTGTTCACGAAGTCTCCAAGGAGAAATAGAAGGATGGGGATATAGACGAGGTTGAGTCGTCTCTCTACGCATAATTGAGTTTACGGACTAGTATTCTCTTCTGTGGTAGATCGATCTCGTCATGCCCAACTACCTCAACACCCGTTCTACTCCGGTTGATAGAGAGCTGGGGGGACGTGAACATCAATGATGAATTTGTAGTTCGGGACATCCTTTTGAATCCTTTGTTGCCCACTTCCATCAGTTTAATTATTTGTTACTTGATGATGTTCGGTTGTATAGTCACGACGCCAAGTGGTATGAACATGACGTTGAGCCCATAACTCACGACGAGAGTGCTGCAAAGGCAGTTAGGGGAGGTAACTGACACAATTTCTGACGTCTCATGCTTAGCACAATTCTATTGTTCATATCTCACACTTTCCCTTTTAAAGATGGATCGTGTATGTACTGTATGTGGCTCTAGCTCCCTTTCATAGCACAAGCTCATTGTTCTGAGGTACCCTGTTGATGGTAACAAAGAAACGCCTGATGAACCCCAAACTCCCTGGCCCCTGGGATCGTAGCAGAAGATTTTGTGTCACCCCCAACGCCATCCAATAAATTTCCATCAAATCCCCTTCAGAGCATTTTGTCTCATACCGAGGTTCCCATCTCTCCAAGCGCAAATTCGGGACGAATATCCCCTTTGTCGACTGATACATATCATCTGTCGGTGGCTTCTTCAATGTTGAACAAGTTCGCGAGATTTCCACACGTCAATGGCAACGATGGCGCCCCTCCTGGTACGATGTTTGAGTGAGTGTCGAGGTAGACGATGGTATATGGTGCGAAGCTAATCACGGGCGACGATCATGTCAAAGACTTCTGTGAAACCAAATGGTGAGCTTTAAGAGAGGCCTCAGAAAAATTGTGCAGTGTACGTACCTAGGTCGTTCAACATGCCACAATGGATGTAGATGATAGCGCGAAGAAATTTGCTTTGCATCTCCAGGCGCTCATAGGCCATTCCGCGCGGGATGTTGTGCCTATATGCTGGATTTCCGATGATGACGGCATCCAATTGCTCCAGAATCCGTTCCGCAGCGCTTCTGACCACCCGTGGGGAGGTGCCCGTTCTATACGCGTGCTTGAACCACTTGATCGCTTCGGCGAGGATCTCGGCTGAGCATGGTGGAATGCCTCCATTGGCAGCAGTCATGTCGGAGACTATTGCATTTGTCAGAGAGAGGTAGAGAAGAAGAAGACCGGCGCAAGGGAGGCAAGGACATACTGATGGTGTCTACAGGAAGAGTCTGCAACGCAGTGAGTACGGGAGGAGGCGGAAGATGGAGAATGATCTCTACAGACAGTTAGTACAGGTAAATGTTGGATTATACCGATGCGAAACACGCTCAACCAGAGGGTATCACCGGAGATCTCCCATGTGAACTATGAAGCATATGAAGGACACTCACTCTTGATCATCATGGGCTTTTCTGAGGTGCTGTGGGTAGTCGACGTTGAGGCAGCTTCATCGGCTGGCTTGGAGCTAGCAGTGGAAACGGGCTCTGGGAATAGCAATTCCGACTTGTCGTCAACATCGGGGGCTGTCGCAAGCTTCGGTTGTTTTCCCTCGTCGTCGACGACGACAGGCTCAGCGGAGCGCCTTGGAGTTTGCAGCTTCTGCGCTGTGGTACTTCGAGTGATGTATTCGGTGCGCGCCATTGTGTGATACGTTATCGAGTGTTGTGAATATTGTGTGTGGCTGTTTCTGGCTTGGGCGCTGGATGGAGAATCGAGGTATCGCAAAGGCGGTTGTGGGTGAGGGTGCAGACTAACCGGAAATATTGCGACGGCGAGCGACAGGACACACACGCCAGCCTGGAAAGGAGGGGTGAAGAGTGGATAGTAAGGTTCTACATGGCGTGTTCAGTGAATTACCCCAGAGTCAGCAAAGATGGAAGGAACTACCCACGATCAAGGTCCTATTTGCGGTGAACACCATGCCAGTTTGGCAACCGTAAATTGTGAACAACTTGCTTGTAACCATTCTCATCGATACTTCAGGCTCGGATTCAGGTCTGGGATCTCAAGGTCGCTACCGGAGTCGCATGTCACTTGTCGACAATATATAACCTCATCCACTCACCACAATACTCCTCCACCTTTTCACACCTCAACATCATCGACCAAAATTTGCCTACTGCTCAGCCAACTTTTTACCGCACCTTCGAAGCAAAAAGACCACCTCCTCTACCAACTTCCATACCTAACCACAACAAACGCAACAATGGTCCGTGTAAAGTTCTCCACGAAGCCCCCTCCTCATTGGAAGACACACTCGTCGGACGCGAGGAAGCGCCAACAGACCAAGAAGGGTCGACAGTCCAAGGTCGAGAACGACTCCCAAGATGACGAGAGCTGGCTTCTTCTTCCGGAGCCTGCCCCGGACGCAATCATGCAAGAGCTCGACAAGCCGACAAGAGGTAAGCAAGAATCCAGGATACTATTTCCGGTGCTCAATACTAACCCAGAAGTTCTAGTTCACATTCCTACTCCCCTTCCTGGCACACGCCTACATGGGGCTATGGAACTGATTCCCATTGGAGACATCGGTAAGTCGTCCACGTTGATCTTCATCAATCACATATACGCCTTGCTGCGCTTTGGAATTTCAATCACTAACACGGAGGTATCAACAACAGTCGACCAGATGTATAGTCTCGGATGTCCTCCCACCAACGAAGAGGTGGTTTCCAACGCGAAACTATTCATTCAAGCTGCGGCAGAACTCGATGCCACAGGGAAGGTCAAGGACGCGGCGGAAGTCATCCTTGTTGACTTGGCATATACGATCAAAGGTCGCGACACCGGAGCCTTCCCGGTTGGCCAGCAGTACGAGTATCTTGAGAAGCAGGTCACCTTCCTCGGTACCATCCTGGAGCACATTGGCCACCCTCCCAAGACCAGTAAGTTCTCCGTTGACTCTTGCCAAACATTCCCTCGACAAGGCCACGGTGTCGGGACCTGCCTCAATAGGGTCGCTCATTGCTACAGTTTACTGACGCTCCTTCCCGCTCTAGTTACCTGTATCGCAAAGCCTACGACCACGAAGCCCATCAGAAAGCGTGTGTCCCAATTGCGGCAGGACATTCCAAAGACCGACCGCGTCCTCCGCTCAAGAGCCACAAGGTCGGACTAATCGTTTGCGGCGTCATAGTATCGGGAAACTGGCCCCCGCTCAAGAGTCAACAGAGCATGTGGGATCAGATACTGTCAAAGTAGCATGTACAGAAGCACCATGAGAGACCAAAGACCAAACATGGCCCCAAGCTATTTTGCGCCGAGTACTTCGGAAGGCCGGAGGATACTTGAGACTATCACATGGGATGAACAAGCGATATGTTTCAAGGGACGATTGAGGAATGTTTCGATAGAAGGCAGGATGGAGAATATGAGATGATCACTGTGCAAGGGACTAGAAGGACAGAGAAATGCAATGGAATGTGTAGCAGGAAGAACATCCCAATGACACCTGTCTAGTCATCTGTATCTTGAATCAGAATGGTACTTAACGTGTTGGTGTCTCCAATGATGAACCTTCAAGTGACTGTTGTATGGAAATCGACAAGACAGATGTGATAACGGTGAGTGTTGGCACAGAGTCACGATGTAAATCGGTGTGAGCACAATCAGCACGAGATTGAAGGTGGAGATAATGACTATAAAACATACAATTGACATCGATGAACCGAACGAGCAACAAATCGGGAAACAAAACAAAACATTGTTGTACTTTTTGTGAGAGTGTCCTTACAGAGTACTTCCCCAGACCGCAGATCTGCACTCTTCCCCAACACCATCCCTTCAACACCTCCATTGTGACAACTGTCCAGCCCCACCGTTGTCTTCTTCATAACGTGGTTCGTCAAGTCGGTTGACTCGGTGATTTCTTTGGGAGAACTCGACATGAGGATGAAAAATAGGCACAAAACATTCCCTGTCGGACATTAAGCGTGGTCCCTAACACGAGTGATAAGTGTTAACACGACTCTTCGAACAATCCGGAATAATGGATATACGCTGAATAACTCACGAACGGGGACGGACGGGGAGCTTACTTGCCAAGCTCATCAAGAAAGACTTGTTGAAGTCTGAACTTCAAGACCTCTGTCCTCAGGTCTTGTTGAGCGGAGAACTCGTTGATCCTGTGCAGGACCTCAAATTCCAGCGTCCTCGCCGCCTTTCTCACTGCTTGTACGGTCTCGTTCTCCCGGGCCCTAGCCAGGAAGACGCGCGCCTCAGCCGCTACCATTTCCAAAGTAGGTGCTCGCAACCTAGGCAAACTCTCGGCAAACAGTCGGTTGACTAGTGTGGGAGATAGAGGTGTTAGTGGAAGTCCAAATGTGGATCGGGGTTAACATGGGTTAGGCAGCTTGAACATGTGAAGGAATGAGCAACTTACTGATATCGACGACTGGAACTAACTGAAGTGCCGCCTTGGTACGCGCGTCAGTAGTCGGCTGTACGACTTCTTGGTTTCCCTGCGCGGTGCGTGGCATCATGGCCTGCTGGTGGACGGTCCCGACATTTCTGGGCTGTGAACGATCCATGACTGGATGCTCCTCGACGTCAATGGCATAAGCTGAAACAGCAGCCGGAGCGGTGGCCGGTGTAAATGAGGGTGGAGCAGCGTTCTTAGAAGTGGTCGGCATACTGGCTTGAACACTGGAAACTGCATCATTGGCAGGTAGCTCTGCAACATTGTCGTCGTTTCCAAACTCAAACAGTGCCGGGTCCACCAGGTCCATATATCCATATTCTTCGTGATCAGCTGCATCGGTGATGACAGTAGGCAAATCAACGGCTGTAACATTACCTGAAGCACTGGCCGGAGCGGACACTGGAGCCATGACTGTGGGTGTGTCCATGGTTGTGGTCGTCGCGGTGGTGGTGTTCGAGATAGCAGAGTTGGAGGCAGCTCTGGCGGCAGCCCTAGTAACCCTCCTGGTAAAGGGCGTGATACTCGTTGCAGGTCCAGAGGGCACATTGGGGTTAGCAGCGGTGGTAGCGCCGGTCGGAACTTCGGGAATCTCGCCAGCCTCTCTGCGACGCTGTAGCTCCTTCTGGCGCTCTAGCTCCTGAAGCCTACGACGCTCTTCGCGGCGCTGACGACGCTGGAGCAGCTGGCTCCAATCGGAAACCTCTTCACCTATGCGTTCCTTGACGTACTTCACACGAGCCATCTTGGTTTGTTAGTCGCGAATAGGTGCTGTTTGTTGGTGATTGCGTGGTGGAAAACGAGGAAGGTTCGACGATCTTGCTGTGTGTTTTTGGGCAAATTTCTGAGAAGAGGTAGAAGTTTTTGGTGGTACGATTCGGGGAGGAATGAAATATAGAAGGGGATGGGACGGGACGAGCCTGTTTGCCTAGACTCCCGAGTGAATGTCTATTTGCGCGACCACCTCCGGGCCGGCAACACTTCTGGACACTGTCAGCTGAGAAAACCTTCTGGCGTCCCACGTAGCTCCTGGAGTCGAAACCCCATTTGGCACCTACCGTAAAATCAGGCCCCTTTGGAAGAGATGACTGATTTCAGGAGTGAGGGTGACTACTACATGTATCCGAATCAGATTATAGTGTCACCTCATGATCTGACAATACATTTGGACCATGCGGTGGTTCAACTGTTAAATGTAGCTAAGGAAGTGATTGTATGTCTCCGGGACTGATACTGTTTGGTTTGTACTTCCTCTAGTTTGAGGCCCTGTTTCCTCACGTCAAGTATGAATACCAATATGAACGGCAAAAGTTTGTGGGAAGATGGCAAAGGAAAACCAAAGACGTTTCATGCTGTTTCAAAGACAGAGACATCACCACAGACGCAAATGCAAACAGTAACAGTTCAACTGGACATTGGTATAGTCTCGTAGGAAATGTATGGGATTTCAGTACTTTTTGGCTTAATCCACATGATGAAAGCCAAGATTGAGTACATTGTTGATGGGCAAAGTTTGCATGATAGCTGTCAACTTGACGCATTGGTGGGAGGCTTCAGGATACAGAGCTGTCGCTTCTTACATCTTGATGCCCTCGAGACTTCACGGGCTGAATAGTATCTTCCGATCTTCACAGACAGTTAAGACACGCGGTGTATGTCAAGAATCCTGGTACGAGAGAGGTCTGTTGGTGCATATAGTAGATGCTGTGGGATGACCTCTACACTACACATGGAACACAAATCCTGGAAGTTTTATACCACAGCCTGGCAAAGAAGTCAACTGGTCACCCGTGCAAACAAGTGAGTAGTCTACACTGCTTTCAACTGACTCCTAGAGCCACTAGTGGTAGCGAGTGACCATTTCATCTGACTTCACGCCAAACATTATCCCATACATAATCATCCTCATCAACTCAAATATCTCACTGCCCTCTCGTCTGAAGACTTCTTCATTCCATGTCAGACATGACACCGGCTCTCCGGCAACATAGTTCGTCCCCCAACTTGGTCATACAAGAGTCTCATGCGCAAGGATATGTCGCTTCCGGACGATGGCTTCATCGAAGTCTAGAAAAGGTAGGACGCTGGTCGTTTTGTACGCGTTGCGATACCGACTTCGGTAGTCGAATAGAGAGCTCGAGCCGTTGTTCAGGAGAAGTCATCGCACGAGGGTTACAGTCCCTTGGGCATCCAAAGATCAGCTTTGTCAGTTTCAACGAATGCTTTGGCCAACTCTAAGGACAAGCCGTGTTAGCAATGCTCCTTTGTACCAAGCCCTCTTAAGGTTATGGGGAGGAGAAAACATACCAGCACGGATAGCCCTCATGGCCTTGACAAATTGTAGTTTGGCTTTTAGCGTCTCGTACGCCTTGTATCTTGGTGTCGTCCGCTCCAGGATTGGTTCAAAATGGCGGATGAGTACGTTCGCCGCAAACCGGATCAGGGAAGCAGGGTATGTACTGCACACGTCCAAGAAGTAGTACGTGGCTGCCGTCGCAATGTCTTCCTCGTTCGGGACCTTTTCGAGGTTTTTGGCAATCAGGTTGTCCACTGTTGGCACGAACATGTCAGTGAACATTGGCAACATTGAGAGACTCCTTGGGGACAACGCTGCTGAGAGGCCAACTGGAGAGGAACGTACAAATATCTTTTATTGGGATGAACTGCATTGCATCCCGTACGTGTGAAGGGGGCAAGCGGATGATTACCCCTATGGTAGGCTTGGTGTCAGTAGGGGATCCCAACAAATTCTATGGGCGCACGTCGAACATTGGGGCGGCTCATCCTGTTCTGCTTTTTGGTATGTGCCCTCCTGGAGAGCGCGGTCTTTGTAGTGGAGTTGAAGGTGGTTGGCTGTGGGAATGCCTCAGAGGTGGTGTCGCTCTGGTTTCGCTTCTGCCGCTCGTTGCTCTGAAGCTGCCTCAGCCGCTTACTGGCGTCGATTTGAGGCTGTATGAGCCTCACGCTAGATCGAGCGAAACGTGCAAAACACGAAGGAGGGTGCGGTGTTGCACGCTGAACGTTTCAGTCTTCGTCGGGGAGTGTGAGATTGCCATTGTGGACAGTTGGTACGGTTATGGCTCGTCGTTTTTGGTTGCTGAGATTGGCGTTTGTTGGCGAGAGACCGGGCGCTTCTAAATTGGTGCGGCATCTGGAAAGACAATCTTGACGAGGTGAATAGCAATGGACGAGCGAGGGGTAGCAAAGTACGAGTTGGCGGGCCTTAGGAGGGGTTCACATCGGTGAAATGGAAATTAGGAAAGGAAAGAACGATTGGATCCAGTCTGGCGACCCCGGAACCTTCCTTCAACCAGACTTCACTTGCATCCCCGCTGCCCGTACAGTGAATCCCTCCTATATACGCCCTAAAAGCATAACGCGTCAACGATACGCTTGAAGTTTTCAGCTTCATCTGAAGAAGGGGAAATGCGGGAATGATCGCCAGTGGAAAATCACTGAAGAGGATTCATGAACATCACCTCGGAGACACCTCCACCACTCCAGCTCATCTTGAACCAGGCACTTTCCACGTATTATATTGAAAGATATATACGGCTGGAGTTGAAAACGACTGAACAACATGTCAGTAGGCGGCTGCCACGAAAACCCAAAGGTTCTGCTTTGGGCCGTCGGAGGCCTTTCGACTCGATCCACTTGCTGGGAAGGAGAGTAGTGAGTATATGATCCCTCTCTTGTTCTGGTCGTCACGTGGAGACAGGTTCGCCTCTGGTCCAACAGCTTGCCCGCAACGTATACAACGAACCTGGAAGGTTTGAGCATCTGGAGCTGGAGGTGAAGGCACCTCTTCACTTCAAGGTCCTACCCCATGGATACCTCCCATCTGTGATATTTATAGCCACCCCTCAACTTTTTCTCCGTCTCTTGCAAAACAACGCTGCGACTGATTGTCACCCTCTCACATACCGCACTCTACCAAGCTTTGCATCAGAAACCCTCCAAACAGAGCCCTTCTCAGACCAGTACATCGCAACCATGGACAACACAAACGACAAGCAACCCGATTCTCCCAGCAGCATTCCTCTTCTCGCAGTTGTCACCGGAAGCGAGGCCATCCCTCAGCCCAATGTGCCACAGGAGGGCCGGATGACACGCGGTATGAAGGCCGCTGGCAGGACAATCCCCCCCGTCGCCACTCCAATGAAGCGGAAAGCCAGAGCCCCAAAACCCATCATCATCAAGAAGAAAGAGCCCAATGTCCTTGACGACACATCGTCCCAGGGTACGGCTAATTTGAAGAAGACCAAGGGTGAGTGATCCAATATCTGAGTTTGTATTGCTCCGTGCAATTTTCCTGTGACTTCAGAGACTAACACGCATCATCTTCTGTAGCACCTTCGCTTGACCCCACCGATCCGTGGGCATGCGGCCCAGATGGTGTTCCAGTTATTGACAGAATTGGTAAGTGTGCTCCCCTCAACTTTTCTTCATCTACTTTGGTCCAAGCCGTTGACACTTATCAACAGTCTGTCATCTCACCAGGGGCTACGCCAGGACCCCAAGGGAAGATGAACTATCAGAGGCGGCCCACAAGTTCAAATGGCGCGCCATTAAAAGACATAGTCTTCGGGATCTGAAGACGATTACCATTACCAAGAAGCACCAGGCTCGCAAGAAGCTGGCAGAGAATCCCGGAGACAAGCTCCAGCAGATCAAACTTGATCTACTCAAGGTAATCACTGCCCACATTACGAGTAAGTGTCATTCATCAGTGAGAGCTTTCAGAGAATAGAGGAACATGTGAGCTAACAGGTGGTCTTAGGCGAATACTCCGACGCCATGTATGCGAAATGGAGAGAGGGCCGCGAGAAGGTCAAAATGAACTAGGAGAAGGTGGAATGGTGGACAGAGCTTATACAGCCCCTAATTTAACTGTCATCACCTATGATGCAATGATAACACTTCGTAAATATTGTACTGTCTCCTTTAGGAGCTGTCAAGACAGGGAGTGGCACTTGGTGAAGTTGCATCGGATGAGCACGTTTAACAGAAACATTAAAGGACACGGGCGTAAGTTCATTTGTTTTCCCGTCGTATATGAAATGCAGCATGATCGTCGGCAAAATGGGAGTGCGAGATAAAAGCATGAACATAGGGGAGAGCCGGAGAGGCGAAAATAAATGTCTCATAGAGAATCCCGCGACAGAATCAACAAGAGGAGGGAGTGTTAGTGGACCGAGGGGCGTTGGACGGAGAAATCAAGACGACGGCGGTTGAGCTGAGAGCGGTGTGGATGGCCAATAGCTTTGTGAATGCAGGTTAGGTGACTGATTCTGCTTTGCAAACTAAAGGAACCAAGACCAATGTCGGCCGCACTCGGCGCTAGGCCCCTGGGGGCAGTTGATGTTACTTGCAGCTGGACATAGATATGAACAACAAAATGAGTTGACCAAAACGTCCATAGAGGAACAACCCAAAGATATACAGAACTGAAACAGAACCGCACGTGGATATTTGACAAAATGGATTCTCGGACTGGTGTCCTCTGCGCTGTTGGCGGTTCATGTTTCCAGAGTGCTTCGACTTATCAAGCCTATGCAGAAAGGGCCCCACTTGCAGGCCCCACATCTGTCCGCCGGGCAACAGTTCGGATGAAGTCAGGAGGAACGCCAAGACGGCCCCTCTCGGAAGGTCCGCAGTCTCCACACCACCGGCGTGGTGGGGAAAGTGCGGCCGGAGCTCAGGCAAATCGGGCACCACGAAAGCTCACGGCAGATGAGCCAGAATTTTGGTCGAATGGCTTAAACATGTTGGATCGACTTGGTGTCTGGGGCTTACTTTGGTGTTTGATGAGGCAAATGAGGGAGGGGTTAACAAGAGAGTTCCCTTTGGAACAAGGTTTCTGTAGCGTGTTGGCCGATAAGGAGTGTTTGTAAGCGAAACAGAGGAAGTTGACGAGAGCGGCAAGAATTTGAAATGGTTCCTTGCACTTTCCTACTATGGCTGCGTGAGTGCTGCCTGCCGGGACACAAACTGAGTTTAACCCACTGATAAGTACTTGCATGCATGCAACAAGCGCCGGTGATGCCTGGCTGCTTCGAGGTGGTTTGAGAAGGTGCCACGGTGCACATCATGCCTGTGCCAAAATGCGAGCTTGCAAGCTGTTTGAGCAGCCTACTACTAATCACCCGCACGGTCACCTGCCATCGCGGCCCTGTTGCTCTTGCCAGAAAACCAGAAACAACCCAACACTCTTTTCCAAGCCCGTAACGCTGATGCCAATTTCTCCGACCTGTCCTTGAAGTCAGCCATCACGCATTGTACTATTGACTATCGTGCTTTTTGTTTCTTTCCAGTTCTTTACTCCTACTTACCTACTGATCTGGCAACTGTGTCCCGGATTTTGCTGCAGGCAGTTCGCCGTTATCCACACCACACACGATTCCCCCGAATTCCCAAGGTTCCGTCCTCAGACCTCGTTCCTTGCAACTGAACCCATCATGGCCTAACTGGCAAGACCAGTTTTCAGTAAGCCAGTCCCCTAATTCTTCTCATTTCCAAAATTTGTTGACTTTTTCATCGGGCTTAGCAAGATTATTGCCACATCAGAGAGGCTGTCCCTATCAGCCCACGTCCCACGCCGAAGTTCGAACATCTGTTTTCTGCCAGTCAACCTAGAACGACATCAACTTCCAACCATGACAACCCACGATGCATAAGATCTGATAAATTTCTACGTAGACATGGTCACAAAATCAATCACAACTACATCGTCAACTCTTCCAAATCTGGGGATAAAATTGGCAGGGAAGTAAAAGTCTCTGCGTCTCCATTTCTTGTGCATTGTTCATTGACAAAATTTGGGTATACTCAAACATTTTTTACTGTTTTGTTTTGCTCTTGATTTTGCGTCGCGTGCTCCCACCGATTTCTTTGCTAGAAACATATGCTGTTGTCACTGAGAAAAGTATTCCATGGTTTATGTGTACCCAAGTGGTTACGGATAAGCTTGATTGGCATGCCTTGCGGCTTGTGGATTCTGCTGTAAATCGGATGCCTTGTTCAATTTTCCACAGTTCTCGCTTATAGTCTCGATCTGTCGTTGTGTTAAGACCTCTGTGTCTAACTTGCTTCCGCTTTTCGTCAAGCTGGATGGGCTTACTTGGTAGACAAGTGTCTGCACGGAACAGCCTAAACGTTTGGTGTACGGCTGAACACGCTTAGGTGAGCAAGCCCTGTGCTTCACAATTTCATGATCCGGAGAGTGACGAAATTTCCAATTTAAAGAGGTGCCTGGGGCGGCAAGATGACTATAAGGACCGATCTATCCATCTACCATGAGTTTGTGACATAATCCAGAATCACCTCTTTAACCTCGTATCGGCAACGAGATAGTTCACGTCCAGTCTCTTAACATCATCTGATTCTATTTCCTTTCTGCTGTACCACGGAAAATGGGGAGATCAGAGGCCAACAGCCAGATAAAGAGTGTTCATCTTGAGGAGCGTCAACCGGCTGCCTCAGATCAAAGTTCTGGTAAGTGAGTTCTTTGTGAGGCTTCTACTTATCTGTATAATATTCAGCTTTATTCTTCCGGCTCTTGAAGTTCTGATACCGCTTCAGCTCCGATCACCACTGAACACCGGCGCCCTCCTTCTGACTTGGAAATGGCAACCAAATTCATTGACATCGAGAAAATCAGTATGTGTACATCTACCCAGATTCATCTCTTCTCAAGCTTCAAATATCCAGCCCATTTGCTGAACTTCCAGCCGTAATCACGCCTAAGCTACTAATATTGACAGCCCCTCTTACCTTAACATTTCAATAGCTTTCGAATTGACGTCAAACTTTACCACTACCCCCACCGACGACCAAATAATGTACAAAGCACGCGTCACCGTCGATCGAGTTCTGACACTCCATCCAACCCGCCAAGACGGAGGTGAGATCATGAAGGCCATCAAATCACTTCATGGTCACTTCTATTCGATGTGGACTGTTGGCGAGAGGGAAGATATGAAGCTGTTGCTGAGGGTGAAGCTGCTTGCTTGTATGATAGCAGTCATGCGTGGTGAGTTCATGTCGGAGATCGGTGCTGAAATATTGCTGACTGATACCAATCATAACACACACAGAGGACTATCTTGAGGATGGACTGCCTTCTTTGAAATGTTAAGGTAGACCTTCTCCTTTCTCGCTTTGTGAGTTTGGCATATCAACCCCGAGGTACGTTCATTCCCATTTCCTCCTTTGCCTGTTTTCCCCATTGCTTATCTGCTGCAATACCCCCTGTCTACACAACTCCTTCTTTCATTCCTCAAGCCTGGTCTGAAGCCTTTCTGGAAGTTTTCATACGAAGTCGAATGATTGCGGGTAGGGATTTGAAGATTTGAATTCCCGGTTTTGGTCGCTAAGGTAGTCAAAATTCCGGCCGCATTTCTTAGTTTTATTGATAGATACGCTCATGCCGAGTCCTTCAGCGCGACGACGACGAGCACGGTACACTTCTAAATGGAACGGCATGTTGCTTTACCCATACAGCCACAGGATGCCGAGGAGTCACATTTGAATGCACTCCAACGGACATGCATGAAATCTGGCCAAGATTTCTAGTCACTCCGCAAGTTTTCACCAACAACAACTCTCAACAGCTACATAAAGGGCACCTCCTGATCCCAGCACTCCAAGATTCCCTTCTTTTTATGGAGTTTTGGACGTTAACTCACGGTCAGATAACCTAGTCCCGCATAATTTCAGCTCACAATCTTCTCGACATGCCCAGATTACTTGCATCCAAACCAGATGAGGTGTCTTACCCTCGCAAGGCATCCGGCCCCAGGATATCTCGCTCCACCATGCCCGCCTCAACCAGCAACACCAGGGTGGGTAAGTTTTCTTCAGCTCCCAGTGTGTTGAAGCGCATCAAGTAATAAGCGGTCGCTAACCTCTCTCTACTACTCGTAGGAGCTGTTTCCGCGCCCCGCCATACCCTACTTCCGATGGCATTCAGGATCATTCCGATCAACCGGATCAGTATGTCACAATGAACCAAGCCTCCCATCTGACCATTACCTGCGACTCGCACTGATTTCTAGGTACACACTTACCGGTTGGTAGCCCGCGAAATGACCCAAAGCAGCACTGTCATCCCCAGCCGTCCCAAGATCGCACTCAGGGCTCGCCAGGTTATCCAGAAAGCCTTGATGAATGGAAGTCACGATGAGACTATCGAGATGGCTCTCACCAAGCTGCTTTCAAACTTTAATTACCTCTGGGGCTGGGGTGGCTACAAGGATAAGTCGGTGGGGGTCACTGTTGGGTTACTTAATGAGATGATGGCTGTCTTGAAGGGTATGCGACTTCCTTGGCCCCTGCCGCTCGCTGGTGTTGATCGTACGCACTTTTAAGCTGACGTATCTGGTGTAGAGGATCGGTTGGAGGGTGGTGGCTCGAACCTTTCAGCTGTAACATACAGGTAGTATCTATTAGGTGAAGTCAGCTTTCTTGTGCCAGTTCCGATCCTTGAGTCTTTCCATTTAGTCCAAATCCCTTTGTTAATCGTCTCTGTTCTCTGCGGCGTCTATCGGACTTACTGGAACAAGCGTTTTGAATCCAGCCCCAGGTATTTTGTCTTCCGTCTTCGAAATGCATGCACTGCCGATGGGTTACAGGGGGTCATGCGCTGTATGTTATAGCGTATACCCTTGGGTTTCCGGATGTCGGGTTCCCCGTTGGTCCCATGCTCCACTTGCACTTTTCGGCTACCGGCTTTGGGTTACATCATATGTACAGCGCTTTTGTCTGGTATGCCCCAGAGCTTACAGCGCTCAGCATACAGGGGTGCCCGGCATACAGGTTGTAGAGGTAACTACCTCTAGAGCATGAAGGGGCTAAGTCAGCCGACCAAAAACATGTGTAAAGAAACGAAGGGATCTCGCCATGGTGAACCACGACAAATTTATTCGCCTTTCGTCAACTCGATCGAGGGTCACGAGGAGACTCTTCAACTTTTTGAGAAGCAGCCAAATCTCAAGAGAGAATGGTAGTGCACATCTCTGGTGACCTTTCCCTTGCGGTATGAGCACCTCCGCCGGTTGTTATATTTGAACATATTTCGTGCGCAAATCCAGGCTACCTAGGTACACTTCCACCCAAATCTTGACCGCTCAGGTTTGAGAAAGGGGGCAAACTAACCCCCTAATCTCTTTTAGCCAAGCTGTCCGCTGAGAAAGAGTCTACCGGGCCAAGATGCTCCGAGCGTGGCAGGTAACAGAAGCTACGGAAGCTTGCCAGATCGGTGACTCAATCACAGTAGTTGACACCAAAGTCTGATCTCAACTGCCAGGAAGCCATACCACAGTCCACATGAAGTAGATTGAGAGACAACATGCGCGAAAGCGTGGGAAACGCTCAGTCTATTGAGCCCGCTGCAGTTACTTCATGGCCAAGGCCTGCCTGAGTCTACATATACTGGAAGGTGAGCGATCGCGGTCTCCCAATCTTGCTTGAAGAAGTCCGAACTCATACTATGGTAATGGGTTGGTAATATTGTGCAAAGCAGGTTGGGGGATTGAAAGTAAGCTCTCGAAGGATGCACTCGAAGACCTCTCTGATTGGCCTGTGCGTGAGTGAAACAATGAATCAAAAGTCCACATGGCCTGCTCATTTTACTCTTGTTTCTTCTATTGTTTCTTCCATTGTCCCATTCTCACCATTGTTATACCCATGCTGACCAAATCACGCCCATTGTCTGCCCACCTTCAAACCGTCATCGAATTCTCCGTCAATGCGGACGTCACCTCGAGCCGTGTCCTCGGCAAATCTTTTACAAAACCATGTCCTAGTCGCTTTGGTAAAGCGGCTAAATGATGGTCCCTGAGCTCCCCGCCCCCCTGCCGAACTAAAACACCGACAATTCGCATCCCGGTTATATTGGTAGCGCACCCCTCCAAAATGCAACGGGAATCCGGGGTGAGCCCTTGTCGATGCCTTGATGTTACCCTCCGAGCTCCCCCTTAGGGGTTCGTGTATCTGACATTGGCTCGTGGCAACCATGCATCAAAATATCTTGGCTTGTTTTCGATGGTCCCGGTTCATCCAGGATTGGTGTTTCGGAGGATTATACTTTGGAAGGCGCTAAGATCTCAGGAACCGGTTCAAAGCAGTACGTATCGGGAATTGATTGTAGACTTCGGAGGCTCAGGGGCCGGTTAAACTCCAGACTTGTAAATGTCGATCCTGAATTCGATCGAGTACAAGAACGTCATCTCGTCCTGCTTTAATGTGTTTCTCTTCTCCCCATCTTCTGCTTCCTCCCCCATCCAGCACGGACCAAACCATCAGCCATCAAGATGCTCGCCGAAACTTTCATTACCGCGGCCTTCTTCGCCACTTCGGCGCTCGCCGCCCCGGCTCCCAACCCCGTTCAGCTGATGAGCCGCGCCCCCCAACCGGGCGTCGTCATCAGGCAGTGCGCCCAGCCTGGCATGCTCGCACTCGCCTACGATGACGGCCCGGGCCAATACACCTCGAGGCTGGTCGACATCCTTGACGCCGCCGGTGCCAAGGCCACCTTCTTCATGACTGGCACTCTATACGGATGCATCTACAACCAGGCTGCGGCCATCAAGAAGGCCTTTGCTAGCGGCCATCAGTTGGCTTCGCATACTTGGTAAGTTTCTTAATTTTGTTGTTGTTGTTTTGGTCAATGTTGTTCTGTTTACCTCTATCGAGCCCCTGACCCCTGCATGCATGGACATGGATCTGTGACACTACCTCTACCCTGCTCAAGCCTCCAAAACACTCCAGTCCCTCATTCGCGAAAATCGAGTCGTACAACCACAACAAAGGATGATACATACATATACACAAGCGAGCTAACAACTGAAACCACCACAGGTCCCACGGCCACATGAATTCCTTCTCCGCCGCCCAAGTCGCCTCCGAGATGACCAAGGTCGAAACCGCCTTTGCCAACATCATCGGCAAGAAGCCGCGCTACATGCGTCCTCCCTTCCTCGAGACCGGCAATCAGGTCCTCCCCGTCCTCAAGTCCATGGGCTACAAGGTGATCACGGACGACGTCGACTCGGGTGACTGGAACAACCAGACGCCGGCGCAGTCGGAAGCCAAGTTCATGCAGGCGGGTGCGAGCGGCAATGGCCACATCCCCCTGATGCATGAGGTGTATCAGTCAACGGTCGAGCAGCTGACGCCGTGGTTGATCAACTGGGCCAAGCAGAACAACTTGAAATTGGTTACCGTGGCGGAGTGCTTGGGAGATAAGGATGGAATGTACCAGGCGCAGAGTTTCCCGGTGCATCAGGGATCGCTTTCGTGCTAGGTGGTACCTACAGGAGGTTAGAGTTGATGAGGTGAGGGGCAGGCGGAACGAAGGGTGGTATATTGGGTTGGGATAGAATTGGGTGGTATTTGTGTTTTTATCTTCACTACATATTGGCAGATCAACGTACATAAGAGATTTGACTCGAAGCTAAAGTCTGCAGTGTGACTCGCGGCGGGCCTCCTCCATGGTGCCTTCCTGCAGGCAAAGTCAGAGGTGTGATTTGACAGCCCCGCTGCTGCCGTCCAGTGATCGTGTATGTTTCACGACATCAGCTCATATCTGTAGCGTACAAAACAGATCCAACTGTCATCGTCACTTCTCAGCTCCGGTCCCGGTCTTCATCATCACCGGGCCAAACGAACCCGATATGTCTTGCAGTCAGCAACCGCCTTCAACCTCACCAGCGCAGGCAGCCGAAGAACCCACGTCCACCAAACCTCCTCCCTCTCTCCAACAACACGCTCTTTACTACTCTCTACCCCCCCTTTTGAACTAGTGGTCTTTGCCAACGTTCCCGCCGGCGACTCCCCTCTTTCCAGGGTCCTGTCCCAACTCGCCCACCATGATACTTTCTCCCCTCACCCTCGTCCCTGAATACATGAGTCCTTGCCTCTCCACCTCCGGCGGGAACGCATCCTCGACATAGGCAATGACACCCGCCGCCTTGTTTGCTCCTCCCTCGCTGACGCAGACCATTTAGTGCTGTGGATTGAACTCTATCCTGCCGTAATCGACTTCGCAAAGGAGAATATCGCTTCGATGTATACCAATGGGAGGGCGAGGTTTGTGAACGAGGATGTTAGGAAGTTCGAGCCAGGGAGGGATGATAGCTTCTTTCAAGGCACAAGAAGAGGCCGTGAGGGTCGGAAGTAAATCTGCGAGGAGAGAGATCTAGAAGGGTCTCATGCCGTAACGGTAAAGTTCTCGTTGCAGCCTGAGTCTGAGACGTATGAGATTAGAGAGGTGATTGAGAAGATACTTGCTGGTTGAGAGAAAGGCGGGCTGTTTTCATTGGGTACGGCCCCGATGGAAGTCGAGGGAGAGCTGATTGAGTGGCTGGGAAGGTCGGTTATGGTATCGAGTTGAAGTCGAAGCCAGGTGCTGAAGGCGGTTCGGCAGTTCGGGTTTCGGCTCGAGTGGGAGACGACGAGGAAGTTTGCGTCGAAAGCGGTGGAAGTGGGGATCCTTGAGGCCGAGGTAGGCGCATTTATTTGTTTATGTGGTTCAGACATGGTACCCGTAGGAGTAGGCGGAGGTGGTCGACGCTTGGTCAAGTCGGTTCGCGATCTGAGGTATCGGCTGGGCAGCACGGGGCACATGTCGTTGTGCTTTTCTGTGTGCGAGTTTTTGGTTGTTGTGTAGGACTTTTACATCGCGAGGAATGGTCTCAGTTGCCATCCTCCATCTCCTCATCCTCCTCTTCGTCTCCCACCTCCTCCTGCGCTGCCGCCTTAAGCGCCATGATTTGTTCCTCGGAATACTTGAATGCCTTCAGCACGTTGACAAAAACCATCTCATATCCATCCCTGTACCGTCGCACCAAGTCCTGTCGCTCAGTTTCCGGCTCCCACTCTTCTCCTCCGTTCGGCCTGCCATAACAGAACTCGACAAAGTCCCTCTCAATCTTCTGCGCCAATGTAGCTTTTAGCATGTCCACTAACGGGTCCAGCTCCTCCCCAAGAGAGCCATCGCCGAGGCTATGATCTGGCAATTTCTTAAACAACTCCCACTGCTTCGGGGTAGCCATCATCGACACCATGTCATTGATAAGCCTGCCATCCCAGTGGCTGAAATGCGGCTGATAATGAAGCGCGTTGGGCACAAAATCAGATCCCATGCGATTCCTACAGGAATAGCCCTCCCAGAAGTCCTCGCGACAGATTAAGAAATCCTGCGGCTCGCCGCCCTTGCCCTGCGTATCGCCCTGATGTTGCCTCTTTCGCACATGGATATAATCGTTATGCGGCCTCCATGTCTCTTGGTTCTTGACACCAGCAGAGAGGTCTTTGGGGTTAATGATAAAGCCATAGCCTAGCAACAACTCGCTGTTCGTCTTGAACCCGTAATTGTTGAAAACCTGTTGACCGGGGCCATAGCTATCGTTGCAGATCAGTTCGCACGCGCTTGGCTCTGAAGTAAGGTTCCATGTATACGAGGCATCCCAGGAGTGATTGCCAATGTCATACAGGGGCTGCAAGATGGAGAAGTCGTCAATCTTTGATCCCTCCGGCAGCAGCCGCTCGACGTACTCCCTCGCCGACTCCGACAGGACCAACGAAGGCCTAAAGCTGCGGCTGGTAAACATGCAGTACGCCCAATTGTAGAGCACCTGCGTGTAATCACGGTAGTCGGGGAAGCCTTCCTTTTTAAGGATCTTGCGCGCCTGTTTGTACTCGGATTTGACGTTGCTTTGAATCTCCTGGATGGCGACATAAGCGTTGGTGCCCTTGAGCAGTTCGATGTCGTCTTCGGCCCAGAAGGGAGGCAGTGCCCACTTGTCAAGCTGGCTGGGGTCGGCCAGGGTGGAGATGTAGGGCGCCCAGAATGAGGACTTGCCCTTGAGGTATTGCTGAATCAGGTAGAAGCGGCCGATGACGTGGGGCGGGAGGGAGTTCATGAAACGCTCCGGAAATGCAGGATTTTCAGTGTTGGGAGCCAGCGTCGTTGAAGACGGTGTAATGGGTCCGTCAGTGAGAGCGTTGAGGTAAGAGAGTGTGATGGAGGTCGGGCAGGAGACGGCCTTGAAGCCACTTCCTAGTAATTCAGTGGCCGATGGCTTGACGCGTAGCGAAAACCCTGTGACCTCGTCCTCGTACACCTCAAGCAAAGGGTGCAGACTTGCGCCGTGCTTATGGGCCCAGTCCAAGAGCGCCTCGAACCGTTCTTTGTGTGGCGACTCCATCTTTGCACGTCCTCGTTGTCGGTGGTGATATGACGTGTGTGGTATTGGGGAGGTTGAAGTGAAGTTGAGAATTGTAAGTTTCACTTTTACACCATGTCGGTCGTCAGTCCTGTCACTTGGTGGCTCCAGGCAGGCGGTCGTTACAGCTGACAGCATCAATGTACTGTGTAGCTCCCCTGTCCAGATTAGTCAGCGGCACAGCGTAAAATACACCAAGTAGCTAGAGGTGTTTCTATGTACCGTACCTCCCCGCTACATGCTATACTCCACTGTACCAATCTAACTGGAGCTCTCTATCACCTAGGGGCTCACAGCAAGCATTATGGGTCATCGATCACTGTACATCAAGATCAATGGCACTACTATGTAGAGTTAGTGTAAGGCACAGCCAGAGGCAGCAATCCATGCCGGTCAAAGTACCTGGCCGTCCCGTCTTTTACAAGGTACGATAATACGAGAAAGTCCCGGTAGACTTGAACCAAAATGTTGACGACGAGAGGATGTTAACTACAGGTACCTACCTAAGGAGGGACAGATAAGAAACAGAAACCAGAAACCTCGAGCCAAAACTGACGGTCTATCAGCAGTAATCCATAACAACACCCTCTCGAAGATGAACAATTCCACCACGTATTGGCCGTGTTCGTTGTTCGAGTTTGACGACCCAGTTCTTTGCGAGTTGCTTGACGTGTTGACTTTGCCGAGGGAGAATAACATGATGTTAATCGCAAGTAAGTAAATGAAATACAGACATATTCTACCTCAAGTTGCCGCAAATGGGAGGAGCAAGCGAAGAGATGCCCAAAAAGCCTGCAGTGTCTGCAGTCAAGAAGGACATGGGGGGTCGCGAAGGATAGGTAGAGACAGCTTTCGGACCCCATCGATCTCGGAGTTCGTTACCCAGTGATCATTGAACATGAAATTTTAGGTAAAGTCGTTCATGGCGTTGCTCAAAGACCCGGATGTTCAGCATCCCATGTTCCAGGTGAGGTGAGATTATCACATGCGGCAATGGCATGGCTCGCCTGGGTTGGACGCCAACTGAAAGTTGTGGGATGTGAAGAGACATATTGTCGTGAAAGGAACCGGCCGACGAGGTGAGTCAACACGAAGTGAAAACGAGATCGTCATAAAGTTTTTCATGAAGTTTTCCAGAAAACCGTTGAGCAACTGCAAACTGTTCCAAATATCCGCAGTTCCACATTTGTTAGCCCGTAGGCCCGGTCCACTTGCCGTTATCCGCGACCCACCTGGTGAACTTGGCTTCGGCGGAGCTGACGACGCCGCCGTTGATCAATTCCAAAACATTTCAACTCGGTGAACTGAAGAATAGTATTGCACTTCCAATTATAAGTGCTGTTTCAATGGCTGTCTCGGATCACCTTATGGTGCCGGTCTTCTTTTCTGTTGCCGATTGCGCTCCGTGGCTGACAAGAAAGGGATAAAGTAGTACCATGTCACGCCGGCCGATACGGGACTGGGGAACCACTCGCCACGGCAGAGGTTAGCCGAAAACCGGCCCGGCCCCACCACTGTCTTTGCAACTTTTGGAATAAACAAAGCGTAAAGGCATAACCCTTGTGATCAATGGGAAGAGATTAAGCAATCCGCGATATTCCCGGGCAAATGTCTTTGCAACCGAAGCAGATGTGACTGATCAGGCAAGCGTCTTCATGCACAGGACAAGTGCGCACGGGAATGAACAAACCACAGAGCGACGCGACAGCCGTTAAATCCGCCAAAGACTCACCGCACCTCCGAGCTCCCGGAAGGATTTACAGACACTTCAGCAGTTGCCCTTGCAAAAATGTTGCAAATCGCCATCAATCAACCAATCCGGGCTATGACGTCGGCCGTCCTTTCCCTGACCTGCCCCACCGGCGGATGCCACCCTCGAAATGACCCTGGTCGACATGGAAGAAGCAACAAAACAAAACTAGTGTAATTCAGATTTTAAAAAGGAAGCTTCGTCCCATCTGTAACTTTGTCATGGAAAGAACTCCTCTCTTTGTGAGAATCACATCTTTGGACTCGTCCACGGTTCCTTCCAGCACAAGTTATTAGGTACCATGTCACCGTTGGACCGTGAACCGGTCGATGCTGCTGCTGCAGCCGAGAAGCAACAGATGCATGAACCACCACCACCACCACAACCACCTCTCGCACGGGCGCCTTCCTCCCAGAAACAGGACGAACGCCTCGACTCCAATAGGCCTGAGCACTTGGACCCTCTCGACGACCCCGAAAATCAATCGCCCATGTCGCGTCGCCACACCGATACCCATATGAACGCCAGTTCCAGCAGCGACGATGAGTATGACACCGAAAAGGACAGCGACGAAGATGCCGACGAGTACGACGGCCACCGCATCACCAGCCGAGACATCCGACTGACCCGTACTCGCACCAACCGGAGCATGAGATCCAGCACCAAGGAAGGACCGGAGCACGCCAACACCACGGGCCGACTCGACCTTACCAAGACTGTTTCCCGTCGTGACACTGTCCTCTCGCGCCTGCGATCCCGCCCTACCGCCCGATTCGAGTTCAACCATCCGCTAGCACACACCCCGACTGGCAAGGATGTCATTGTCGACTTTGAGGGTCCCGACGACCCCTACCGCCCCATGAACTGGCCCATGAAGAAGAAGATCATGACCACGATGCTCTACGGCTTGATCACCATGAGTGCCAGCTGGGCCTCCTCCAGCTACTCGGCCGGCACTGCACAGGTGTCGACTCACTTCGACGTTGGCCACGAGGTAGCTGTCCTGGGTACTTCCATCTTCTTGGTTGGTTTCGGTATTGGCCCTCTGCTATGGGCGCCGTTGAGTGAGGTTTTTGGGAGAAGAGTGGCTGTCTTCGTGCCCATGTTCTTTGCCACTTGTTTCAGCTTCGGTAGTGCCACTGCCAAGGACTATCAAACTCTGATGATTACCCGCTTTTTTGGTGCCTTCTTTTCTTCGGCTCCTGTGACCAACACTGGTGGTGTGCTGGGAGACTTGTTCTCGCCTGCCGAAAGAGGTATCGCCATGGCGGGATATGCCATGGCAGTTGTTGGTGGTCCAGCCATCGGTACGCCCCGCTTTCTCATTTCTATCTCTTTCCCGTTGGCCTTGGCTAATTTATCATTGTCATCCTCACAGGCCCCGTCGTCTCAGCTGCGGTTGCCATTCAGCCCAGTCTCGGTTGGCGATGGACCCTGTACCTCACCGGCATCCTACAAGCCTTCGTTCTCGCCCTCGGCTTGATCTTCATCGACGAATCTTACCCTCCGCGACTGCTCGTCAACAAAGCCCGTCGCTTGCGCATCCAAACCGGCAACTGGGCACTCCACGCCAAGTTTGAGGAATGGGACGTCACCTTCTCGGAGCTCGCCCAGAAATTCTTACTTCGCCCGGTGCAGCTCCTTTGCACGCCCATCTGCTTCCTCGTCGCTCTTTATGCTAGCTTCTGCTACGGTATTCTGTACATGCAGCTTGGCGCGATTCCCATTATCTTTGGCGAAGTCCGCGGGTGGACGCAGCTGGTTGCTACTCTGCCGTTATTGTGCATCTTCATTGGTGCTATGATCGGTTGTGGCGCGAACGTGTATAACCAGTTTATCTACAACAAGGCGTACCGCGCCGCTGGCGACCGCGCCGTTCCTGAACGCCGTCTGCCGCCCATGATGGTTGGGTCCGTGATCTTTTCGGGTGGGCAGTTCATGCTCGGGTGGACTGCGCCAAAAGATATCCACTGGATTGTGCCCTGCATCGGTCTGGTTCTTATGGGATCGGGATTTTTCATGATCTTCCAGGCTGCGCTGAATTACTTGGTCGACACGTTTACGCGGTATGCGGCCTCGGCGGTGGCTGCGAACACGTTCCTCCGCTCGTGCTTTGCATGCGCGTTTCCCTTGGTTGTCACTCCCATGTTCCATAACATTGGTGTGGGACCGGGATCGTCGATTACCGGAGGGTTTGCGGCTTTGTTGATACCCGTTCCGTTTGTCTTTTTCGTCTATGGAAAGAGGATCAGAAAGAGGTCGAAGTGGTCGAGACCTAGCGTTTATGACTGAGGGGTCCATGATGGATGATGAGATGATGCATGATCATGCATTTCTGGGATTATGGGTATGTCATGTTTGATGATGCATTTTACGGCGTTCTGGCTCATCTACAGGAGATACCAACTGATAGCATTGCGTTTGAGCTTTACTTGGAAATTCCTGTCGACTTTTATGAAGTATAAATACCTGTCAGTAGACGAATAATATTAATTGTGGCTATCGAACTCAACGATTGACAAGTGCGTCACAGAACAATCGAGTGATCATGTCAGGGTTAGGGTCTTTTTCGAGATGTCACTTTGCCCCTGACGGCCCGCTCCGCGGATAGTGCTGACATCACCACTAATGTTGCGATCAACTGCACGCCGTTATACACGTGTAGAAATCTCGTTGAAAATTTGTTGGAAAGGCGGTGATCTCCTTGCACCTCTTTTACTGGATTCATCATCCTGCGATCATTGCGAGTCCCATCCTGGAAAAATGCCTATATCCGTCATCGATCCAAGGCCTTAGCAGGCTTCTTATCTCCGATCCGACAGATGCATGTGAAAGGGAATTGGTCAGGGGCCCGGACCACCTCGCGTATCTTTCGATAGCATCATGCAAATCCCCCACCAACGTAATATATAAAGACTGACCTCCGGCAAAACTACCAACTTCATAAAGGCAGTCGCAAAATACCTCATATCCAATCTCAAGAAAGCTCAAACAGCGAAACGAATTCATCAGTGACGGCAACAACAATGGACTACATCCCCTTCCTCTCGGGGGGCGTCTCCTTCAACCCCCGCACCGACATCCCCTCTTCTGCTCTCCATGGCAAAACCATTCTCGTGACAGGCGGCAACGCCGGCCTCGGCAAGCAATCCATCCTCGAATTCGTCCGCCAGCCCGCCGCCTCTCTCCCCTCGCGCATCTGGCTCTGCTCCCGCTCCCTCGAGCGCGCCCAATCCGCCATCGACGACATCTCCGCCGCCGTCCAATCCTCCGGCGTCAATCCCGACTTCGACGCCTCTTCCATCATCAAGCCCCTCGAGCTAGACCTTACCTCCTTCGACTCCATCAAATCCGCCGCCCGGACCGTCCTTGCCGAAAGCGACCGCCTCGACATCCTCATGCTCAACGCCGGCATCATGGCGGCCGCCACCGGCGTCACCGCCGAAGGCTACGAGATCCAATTCGGCACCAACCACGTCGGCCACGCCTTACTCACCAAGCTCTTGCTTCCTCTCCTGCTCAAAACCGCCCGCAGCGCCAAGGGTAATGACCTCCCCCAGCCAGCGGACGGCACCCCTACCGCGCCTCCGGACGTCCGCGTCGTTGTCTTGTCTTCTGAAGGCCATCGTCTTCCGCCTCTTTTGGGCATCAACTTCGCGACTTTGAAATCAGACCAATCCTCCATGTTGACGTGGCAGCGCTACGGCCAATCCAAGCTCGCCAACATCTTGTTTGGCAAGCAGCTTGCTGCGCATTATCCGGAGGAGCTGACGGTGGTGGCACTGCATCCCGGCGCGGTCAACACGCAGCTTTTCCACCCGTTCCGCAATAGTGGATGGATTGGGTGGGCGGTCACGGGGTTCCTCAAATTCTTTTTGAGCACGGTGGAGGATGGAGCGAAGAATCAGGTGTGGGCGGCGACGGCGCCGAGGGAGCAGGTGCAGAGCGAGGGCAAGGGCAAGTGTGCGTATTTCCTGCCGGTGGGGAAGAGGGTGGGAGAAAGTGGATGGGCGAAGGATGAGGAGTTGGCGAGCAAGTTGTGGCAGTGGACGGAGGGGGAGTTGGAGGGGCAGGAGGTTGATGCTTGAGCGGGAGGTGCGGCGATGCATGAAGCGTGAGGTGTTGGGGACACGTACACTAGATGCTGGATTGGAGCGGAACTCTTCCCGACTTCAATGGGTACCTTGGAGGGGCTTCGGGCTTGTCCTTCGGTACCGGAGAGCTAGAAGATCTCTTATACGCCTGTGTCTTTGGTGTATCTTTGACACGCTGGCTATCAAGTTCTGTTTCTTCTAGCTTTCAGTCCGGGCGCACCGGGATCAACTCAGGGGGACTAGTCGGGTTGGGGTCTAACGTGTCGATAATGTTTTTCAACCTTTCTATACAACTTGATAGTTCTTGCATACAACAGCGGTATATGACATACATTCGAACTCGCTCATCAAGCAGTCAACGCCTCCGCCCATGGTGGAATTTGACGAGGCGGTGATCAAAGTTGCGAGTTGGGCGGCTTCGGAAACAAGATCTTTTAGACGCTGATGTACAGCAGCCTTGGCTTCGTGCTTTGCATGTTACATCGGCTCTGGGAGTCTCTTGGGTGGAAGTGTGTGGAAGTTATGAAAGGGGCTGGCAGCAACCATGGGCGCCACCGCCGAGCTACCGGGGCCATCAGGTTATTTCCCATTGAAGAGGTAATCCAAAGTGTTAGCGGCGAGGACAGAAAGCTCAAGCACATGACACTTAATTCAGGTCGTTCGGCCACATCATTTCATGTTCCAGTACGTACCTACTCAGCCAAACAACCTTTCACCGGCCTTTTGAGCCCATCGAGTCATCGACTGACACAAGATCGTTTTGGAAGGGAACTACTACACCTAGAAACACACCCTACAGAGCGCACCAAACCATGTCCCTAACTCATCTCGAGGTACATTCTCCTCTTTTTGATCTCTCTGCTTGTCTTTATCTACTGACAATATTGGGGCCGACACTAGATAGGTACGCTTTGACGAGACTCAATATTATACGTTGGGCTAAACGTCAACTGGCAACGTGGTAGATATCCCGTTTGCTTTGGTCATGTCCGCTCTGCGTCGTCCTCCGAGTCAATTTGTTGTATAATTCTGAGTCGCAGCATTCAGGAGGACCAGAGCCATATAATGCGTGAAAAATAGTCAGCAGGAAAGAGCATCCTCGGATGACTAGAGGTATGATATTGACGAATACCAGGACACGTTGCGTCTAACTGCCTTACCCAACCCGCTTTGCCTCGCCGCGTTCAAGCACTGTGGCGTAAGTAGTTTTGTCTCTGTGTTGGTGAGGGTGGAGGATGAAGGAGAGCAGGAAAAAGGCAAGAGGCAGAGGGGCAAAGAGGACCAGATATTTGTATTACGATGATTGCCTCTAGAAGGCAAGTCCCCTCTTCATTTCCTTGGGATCAACAGGTGCGGGAGGAGAACGTAAATCACCCAGTTTTCCTTGTACACCTCAAATCCTCGATATCGATTTTGGTTTCCTGAACTTCGACTTATCACGAACTCTCTCGATCATTTCACTGCTCCTTGGTTTCTTCTTAGTTTCTCGAATATGGTGGACTCAGTACAAGTACCACTAGATCATGATCAGAGGTACATTACTATAACTATCTTCTCTACCACATTTCGGTACTCCACTGCACCCACACCATATCACATGCACGCTGTCACTGATGAAAACTTGAGACAGGTGACCACAGATGAGATTTGTGAGAGGTGAATGACGCGTCTTGTCGGATTGCATATATCTTCGTGATCATTCGATATGATCCTTCCATCAGACAGAAGACGTCCAGCAAAAAGTTCATCCCCTCGTCCTATTATAGGTTCCTGGTATCTTGTAAAAGCCATGCTGGGTATCACAACTCCCCTTCTTCAACAAATGAAATGTCCTCAAGCTCAAGGCCTTCCCACCTACACTATCGCAGGCTTACTGCTCGGCGCCACAACCGTCCTTTCCCTCCCCTCCACTCCGCTACCTGCCGGCCTACTACCTCGACGGACCCCTATAGCCTGGGTCCTCGGGCGAAGGAGCTGGTGAGCGGCGCTGACCCTCTGGTGAGGGAGCCTGCGCGCGGCGCGGGCCCTCTGGTGAAGGAGCTCGCGAACGGGCTCTGGTGCTCTCCCTGGCGGATGTGGCTATCATTAGGTTTGAGTTAGCTTCCACTCAACAACAGTATATAATGACAACAAGGTGAAGACTCACAGCCGTTGGCCCTATCCTGCAAGGGCCTGTTGTTCACTCGGCCCATGGGCGCGGGCAGGGGCAGTGGCCGGCTGTCAGCAGCCACCGTTGCCAGTGTGTTCAACCTCGCCGCAGAAGTGGTAGGGCCGTTGTTGTGTGAGTGGCCGTAGCCACTGGACGTGCCGCTGGGGATGTTGCCCCTGGTGTTGGTGTTGGCGCTGCGGGTGATGGTGGTGATATTGCTGGGATTGGTGGTTTGCGGGTTGCTGCCACCCACAGCAACAGGGCCGAACGAGACCGGGCGCGAGCCGGGAAAGGGCTGCCAGTTGGACTGCCACTGAAGTGGCAGCGTCCCTGGCACGTTACCCGGGACGTTTCCCCAGAGGCCGAACTCGCCAAAGCCTGCTCTCAGAAGCATGAGAGCTTCTACGGCCTCTTGCTCTCTTTGTCTGCGGCGCTGTTGCGCCGCTTCATAGAGCCTTTTGTGGGGGCAAGGTTTCTTTTGATGACGAGTCATCTTGGTTGGTTGGTGATGATGATGGTGGTGGTGTTGTTTGTGGTTGTGTCGTTAATGAGTGAGCTTGGAGGGGTAAGTTTGAGGTTGGCTTTTTGCGAAATGGTTATGTGCAAGCAGGGCGGTCTGAGATTGTTCTGCCTGGGGCAAGTAAAAGCCAGATGAGAAAGTGAAGGAAGGAGCAGGCAGACAGGACGATGTCGTCTTAGCGCGCACGGGTCGAATTCATCTGAAGACTTGAGAGGGTTGTTACCTGACTACGACCTTCCGCTCCTTCCTCGGATGACGACAAAACGGACTGAGTCAAAATTCTTTGTGAGGGGCCCGTTTGTATCAACAGGTACATGTGGACTTTGTTTCGTCACTCTGTCCTCCGCTCGTTCCTCTTTGCTCACTTCCCCAGTATGCTGCCTGAACTTGTGGAGAAAGAGTCAGCGAGTTGTCCAGTCCAGTTTCTTGATCATCACGTGGAGCTGATACACATGCAGGTGTAGTGGAAAAGATGAAGAACAAACAGAAAGTAGCAGGACCTGGGGTTTATATACGGAATGCAAGAGCAAGTGGAATTACAACGAACCATTGAAGGGAACTGACCAGCTTTATATAGAGGTTGTTTCAGGTCTAGTAACGGGAAGGTGTGACAGGCAATAAGCAATGGCAAACATGGAAACTTTTCTTCAACCTCTGACACTTCCGTCTTCCCTCAAACCTCTTGTTCTTAATGTTGTCGACATATTCAGCACGCTTTTCTTCTGCTTGGCCATTGACTTCTGGGAGTTCGAAGACACTGCCCACTTCTTGAACCAATTTTTTCGAGCATACAACATACGTGGTAACGAAAGATACAGATATTGGAGTAGCCAAATGTCCTTCTCTTCTCGCATGTGGTATCCTTGAGCTGCTAGTCGCTTCTTTGTTTACTTTCACATCTAGTTTCCTTTTTGTATGTCTGTGTTTACACTTCCTTCACTTTGAACTTCAAGGCAAAGAGCCTCTTCTGTTGGAGTCATAACCCAATGTCAACACTCAACAAACGCTTTGCCGTAGCCAAACAAACAATCTTTAGTGACTTTCGTTGTCTTCAACTTTCATCAACTTCAGTTCATCGTTACCAGGTATGCTCCTCCTCCATATCTGACAGCCCTTCCTCACCCTTCTTCAACTCTTCAACCGCCCCCTCCAACTCCTGGACCTTTCTGTCTACCTTCTCATTCAAGAGATGAACCCTCTCGTCCAAACCCGAAGTCAACACCAGATGGCTCCTCTCTAGTTCAGCAATTCTCCTCGTCATCTGCTGCCTGGCGAGCTCATTCTGCTGGACTGTATATTTCAGGTTGAAGACATGCTCCTTCAACATCTGCATATCACTGCGCAGGCCGTCGTACTTCTCGAGGTGATCCTTCAGCTTCACCAAGAGCTTCTCCCGCTCCCTGTACCTCTCAAAGGCAAGCTCCCGGTACACTCTGATCTTGTCTTCCTCTGAGTTGTTGGACAGAAAATACTTCTCCCAGGCTTCGAGCGGCTCGGCGCGCGTTTCGGCCTTGGCAAGCTCCTTGTGGAAATCGTAGCGCATATGGCCGGACATCTTTTGCCATGCGACCTCGCGATTAGTGTCGAGGCTTAGGAGAGCTTTCTTCAGGCGCTCTCTTCGTGCAGCAGTGTCGGGAGGGATCTGGACAGGGCCGTGGGCAATGGCACCGAATTCCGCGGCGGCTGGCACATTCGGAAAATGAAGCTGCGCGGGTTGGTTTTGAACTGCGATGCTCGTGGGAAGCGGGGGCTGATCTTGAATCTGACGTCTGGCTTGGTCAGGTTTGACGTTCATGTTGGGCATGTCGATATCGAAGCACTTTTCGTTACCTGGTCAGTAAGCCCCTCTCTGAGTCTCTGGCGCCTAACAGCGGAAGTTAGCACGTACCTCATCACCGTTGCTGAGATGATCATTCATGTTATGAGAGTGCTCTAGATATACTTTGCTTGTTGTGTGGATACAAAGCAGTCGCTGGTATAGTTCACTGGTTTTGGTGCTTCTGAGATGCTTCTCGCAGGTAAGAAAGAAATGTCGCGTAGGTTCATCAAGCTTTGAGCTTGAACATCATGTGATTTGAGAAGTTGGTGTAAAGATCTGTATTGTTGAGCAAGAAATGTGGGACATTACCAGTGAATGGTTGCCATGCCTTCTCCCACAGTAAGACCACAACAGCGCAAAATAGAAACTGGTCCTGGTTGAATGTATGTCCCTGTGGAGTTAAGATGTCGGGACAAACAGCTGAACTGAAGTTCTTATTGGCTAGAAAATATCTGCAAAGGATTTGCGACAACATGGGACGGAATTTCGATGCATTTGGTACCCCCTTTATCGTGTTCAAGGCATTAGCAAAGGACGCAAGACGGAAATCGCTCTGACCATCAAGGACCTCCATGCTGTATTCCTGCAGTCACTCCTATTCTCGACGAGGCCAGGTTTTGTGTCGAAACGGTGACAATGAGTGACATGGAAGGTAGATACCAGGAAACCGCGAACTTGCGTGGATCGCATCGACTAAGACGAATACCGCACGGGTGGAGAAAGGAGAATGCTCGGCCTATCTTCGATTGATCGATCCCACACTGGTAGATTGCATACCTGTCGAGACAACAGTCTGTTTGACCCTTTCACATCGACATTATTGGGGTAAGGTCGTGCCATGTTGCAATAAAGGACTGATCAAATATTTCTCTAGAACCTTTAGTTTTGGCACGTAGGCACCTGCGTAAAAACTAGGTAGCCAGAATCCAGGAGGCAGACATAGTTGTATCTATCTTCAGAGAATCGATACCCAATATCCGAAGTGGAAAGCTTCAAAGTGTCTAAGTAGCAGTGAAATGCAGAATTAGTGGCAAGCCCTCAACGTGGAGTTAAGCAATCACGAGGTACGAT